GGAGAGCATCAGCTGCATGTCTGGGTCATCTCTTATTGACTGATCCTGTGGCAAAAGAGAGAAAAAAAGAAGACAGCACCGCACAGACGTTGCATATCAGTAATGGTAAGAACATTTCTAGTCTAACATAACAGTTGTCATTGAAATAGTCTGACCATATGAATGCATGTCACAATATAATCCATGATTGGATTCATGTGGTGAATGTGCTTCACTGTGGATTAAAGGCAGGAGATTTGTTTCTATAGGCTGTGGAAACATATGGTAATATCAATGAACGTGTATGTCAAAAACAACCAGATGATGGAGATTTAAGTCATGCCAAAAAGTCAGCAAATCAAATTCTGTGCAGTCCCTCCTCAGAAACATTCAATACAAAGCGTGTAAGTGGTCCCTGCCTAGTGAAGGGTCACATTTCTGTTGATGTGGCGGTACAGTTGTGGCTCAGGGAGCATCAGAGGTCATGCACGGTTTTCATCAACTGCTGCGCTGACTGACATTGAGAAAAGAGCTTTTACTGCAAACGTGGGCGAGAGCTATAACTATAACTGTATAGAGTAATTGCTTTATTTTTATAGGAGATCCGGTAGTTGTTGCTACCAGATATGATGAAAATAGATATCAGTGATTTTTCTACGGGCATTGACCTGCTTCTCTGATTTAGAATGATATACTTATTTTGTCAAAAAACAATGTAACTGCACCATAATTAGTTATTTTAAGTTGTATTAAAAAATATGTTACTGCACAGGTTTATTTTAAGTTCAACATGCCAGAAGTATTTAGAGGGATCAAGACTGAAGTTATGTCCGGTTTGGAATCAGTTTTCAAACCAGTGAGATGCAGCTACTCCATTATAACCACAGCAAAAGTGATACACTTGTATTATCAGAGAACATTCAGCTGTATTAAAAGCTGTGGAAAGAGCTTCCTGTTGCTGTTTATTGACTAAAGCTTTTATAATATCCTCAAGTTCTCTTTTTATTGCCACTTTGTCAGTCCTGCTGGTACAAAATTATCCTTTTATGATCGTATTAGGGTTTTGTCAAAGCCAGACTTGTAAGACTACCCTGCGAAAAACATTATGGTAGTGATCAATAATTGATGTGGTTTTATTTTTAGCAATTTTAGGATCTAAAATTAGCTTCACTGATTCACTGCTTTTGCATTAGGAGGATATGCAATGACATTTAAGTTGTCAGGCTAATACATGCAGCAGAAAACAGAGAACAGACACTGAGTTCCCTGTAATAGATTGAGCTGAAACTTGCGGGGGCAGGGACATAACACAACAGTTCCTCTTCACTTTGTACTTCTATATGAGGTATATCACACACTTCTCTGTAGAGGTAACGCAGTCAGAGGACACTTCCTATTCAAAGAAAGGTCAGTGTCGACGTGATCTGGTGTTCATGTGGATTTTAAAGTCTAAAGATCTGATTGAAGAAGTGACATATCAATAATGGTAAGAAAATGTTTTTAAATCGTTTGGCTTCTTCACACAAAGTAACATTTTCTGTTTATATGCTTCAATCAAAGGGAATGTGTTTATTACCATCACTGCAGTGGTAAAACCTAGATGCAATATAACTGAATATCGCTGTAACAGATAGATGCTAAAACACCGGACAGATTATGTAAATGTGAATCATTCAAATGATTTGGTGATCCAAGTTCTGTTTGGCTCCTCTTCAAAGCTGGTTACAATTCATTCCTAAAACCTAAAAAATATTCCACATCTGAAACACTATTTTCTTTTTTCTACAAGTATTGTATAATATCCCCGTTTCTCAGTCAGCACCAGGTTCTAAGGAGCTACAGCTCATTAAAAACTAAAAGTTTTAAACTATTTTTCACATTAAGAGGTTTTTAGGCAGCCAATTTATATCACTGGTGTCGAACAGCTCACTGTGTCATATTAAGAAAGGTAGCTAATGTAATTTGGCTGTGTTATGGAGGTTCTGGCATACTGTTGGCTTTTCACAGAGATATGCTTCATGTGTAGATTATGATTTAACACTAAAGGAACATGGTTAGTGCTGAATACACTGTGCTCTTGTTACACACTATCAGAGTCTGCAGTCACGCTAGCAGCTCTGTGAAGCTAACCTCAGGCACAGCTGTGCTTTGAGCTAAATACTAACATCAGCATGCAGACATGCTCACAAAGGCAAAACTAACATGCTGATGTAAAGCAGGTTATAACCTTCTCCCTGTTATATATTGTAGTTTAGCGCATTAGCATGCTAACATTAACTAATTAGACCATCCCTAGAGGCATGCTAGTAGCATAGCTAAAATATAACATGCTCATGTGTTTCCTGGTGAAGTGCCAGCTTTTTTATGTTTTTGTACAATTAAAATGTCCATCTGTTTATTTTATATGTGCCTATCATCTTCTTTTGCCACTGCAGAACCAGTATATCTATGGAGACAACATGTTTACACTCTCTAAAATATTTGTTTAGTCAACCACCACCATGACAAGACTCAAATATTGTCTCTGTTGTCGTAGTTTATATATCATAAGTGTTGAGTTTGTTTGGTAGGGGGCTTATTCCCCTCTTAGTGAGCTTTATAGCATTGTTCGACTGGATACCACATTGAAAAAGGGTGGCACTATACCGGTTGCTATGGAAACAAGGACTGATTTGTGGGTCGGGGGTTTAAAGAAGCTCAGCAGTATGTGATTTACACAAAGGGAGTGAGTGATAAGGGTCCAAGTATTGGTGGAGAGTGCGAGTGTTTCTTGAAGTTCAGTTTGCTGTTGGAACAACATGAAGGTAATCTGCGATTCCTTTCAAAAATATAAAATGCTGCCAATAATCAACACTCCCACTTAGAGACAGCAGGAAAATTGATTGCTCGCACCTTTTCAAGGAAAACATGCAGATGAGGCTGCACCTAATGATTGCAGAAAGGCGTAGACAAACATCATTTGTGCCCACATGGGTAATGATGTTTGAGAACATTCAAAGGCTCCCAGGAATATACATGAGCGGGGTTTTAATGTCCGCATCCCTGGCACGATGCAGGAAGTGCACAGAGGCGTCTATGTGACCCAGTGTCTCAGATAGGGAACCAAACATGGCCGAAATCTCTTGAATTGTCAGATTCAAGAGAAGCCTGGACTAGTAAGAGATGTTAAAAAACGGTTATCACATTTTGTATTGCTCTCCTTGTCTGTATCATTTCAAGCTAACAAAATAATAACGCATCATGTTCGATCAGACACATGAATTAAAGTTTATTGGAGTAAAATGTCACACTTATTGTTGAATAATGTACAACCACTATTTGTAACACTATATCTATCTATATGATCGTTTGACACTCATTGTATCTGCTTGCACATAAGCACAAGCTACAACAAATGGCAGTATTTGCACATTTTGACAGTTATGACAAAATAAAACTACACCTTCCCAGCCCCTACTTTGATTAAGCTTTCCGATAAAATACTTTACACCTAAAGCTTTTTGAGAGATTGTAGGCGTTTTTATATTGAATGAAATATTACTTATAAACATGTTTTTGTTTGCCCATTCAATGGAGACTTTTAAATATTGATGTCACACAGCTCAGGCTTTTGTTATAGAATAGAGCCGCAGAAGACAATGCTGAAAATGATCAAATGTTGCATCAGACAATATAGAACAATAACGTGTCACGAGCATAATAAAAGCCTTTCTTTTCCACGTTTTAAAAAGCAGACATTATCCACTTCAGAATAAAACAAAGACCTTAAAGAGACACGAGCAAAATCAGCAGCGAGAAACACTTCCTGCTAACCGTGTCAGAGATAGCTTCTACAAGGTACGAATGGTAACATAACTACGCACATAAGCATTTCATGATGCACTCATAGAACTACGCATAACCTTTGATGCGTTACAGCCATATTTTGGTTGCAGCCTTATAGAAATGTCCGCTGAAAGATTGTCTAACTGTGAGGAACTGGGGAGATAGTGAGAGAAAGCAAGGAAGGGAAACAAAGATTTCTTGTGACTTCCTATAGTGTGTGTGTGTGTGTGTGTGTGTGTGTGTGTGTGTGTGTGTGTGTGTGTGTGTGTGTGTGTGTGTGTGTGTGTGTGTGTGTGTGTGTGTGTGTGTGTGTGTGTGTGTGTGTGTGTGTGTGTGTGAAGCTGTTCTGGTAGCAGCTCTGCACCACTGCACCTGCTCTTTAGGCTGCAAGCGTGAGAGAGGAGATGCATGTGAAAACGCTAGACAGGAAGAAGCCTCGCACCTTGATTTCAACTTGAGTCGATTGACGTCAGTTTTGTCAAAGACGGGGCCATCTGCAACGAATGATAACAGGAACCGGCTGAAACAAAACCCACATTGTTGGTGAGTTGCAGTCAAAACAAGGAATTATAAACTATATTATTGCTTAAAAAAGGGAAGTGCACCGGCGGATTCTCTTTAGGGCAAAACTGTTGCTTTAAATGACTCAAAATGATGAATAACAGCTGATCTGAAATACTGTATTGGTATCAATATTTCTGTGGTTGTACTCTTAACTACTGGTGCAGAAGTGAACTAACAAAGCTGCGTGTGTTGGTGTGAACGTATGTGAGGGTGAGAGACAGTTTACTTGTACTTCTCGAATGTTGGCAGAGTGTCAGAGGGCCAGGAAGCCCCCCCCCCTGTGTTAATACTGTGTCTATTGTGAGCGTGTGCAGGGCGACGTGGTGAGCATTAAGTCTGCTATGGAACTATTTTAGGAAACTTTTGGAACGGGAAGTGTGTAAAGGAAAGAATAATAATGAAAGAAAACAAGGCATTACTCAACAATACAGCGCGTCAGACCTACCTGCTGCTTTATTGTTAAAATTCAATACTTGTTTATCAAAGCCAATTCCCTCCTCTCAGTGTTTCTGTGTGCTCACTCACAAGCTGCTCAGGGTTGAGTATAAAGCTGTCGATTAAGATAGTGGCAGTGTGGGTGAACGATTGGAAAGATGAAGTTTATAAAGATGTTTCTCTGTGTTTTTCTACAGGTGCACCAAAAGGGAAGCAGCAGGCACTGAAGAGTGCAGTTGAATGGTCGCCATGTTAGAAGGGTTAAAAGAGTCTCTCAGATACAGAGGACTCGGGCGATGATCCTCTCATCCTTACGCTGCAGGAATGAGAAACCCCCAACTGGAGCACCACCAAAACACGCATCTGCTCTCCAGGACAAGGACTGATTCATGGGTCGGGGTCTCGCAACAGACACAGCTGCATATTCTCCTCCATCTTCTTCATTTGCACTTAAGAACTTGTTGACTTGTCATTACAAAGTGTGGCCTCTCACAGACACGTCTATGAGAGCCCAAGGGTGGAAAAAGTTAAAAGATTGTAATTTGTGCGAATGAGAAGCTTATTTGTGGGGTTTTTTAATCGCTCCTGTTTCATACCAGCACCATAGAGAACAGGACAGACATTTTCCTGGAGGAGCAGAACGCTCTGGAGCAGAGTGGGGAAAACGATTGTTGGACTGGTGTGTATTTCTCAGGCACCATGCAGTCAGACGACCTCTTCATCCGCAAGTTCCGCCGGCAGAACATGCGGCCGCCTATTGCCACCGTCAACTTTGACCCCAAGCGTGAGGCAGGCGTAGTGGAGTGGCCTCCGAGGAGAGAGACCGATGTAGTTGACGGAGAAAGCCTGACTCCGAGCCGCGTGGGGCTGACGCTGAGGTCGGTGGGCCGGGGCCACATCATGCAGAGGAGTAACAGCGACGTCACCCTGGGAGACCTGGACTCCTCAGGGAAGGCAGGGGGGAAAACAGCCCGGGTGGTTGGTGAGAAGGTGGGTGCGGGGGCTCAGGGGGATGGGGGGGTGCTGCTACACAGGGAATACGGCAGCCTGTCCTCACTGGAGAGACAGACTCAAATTCAGGAGCTGAGCACAGACGATCAGGGGCCCCTGAGTCCGAACGCCCTGCGCTTCAAAGACCCTTTCTTGCTTTTGGGACTGCAGGGCAACCCTCCAGAGCCGGATGGATTCTTTCGGGGTCTGATTGGGTCTTTAGGGGACTCCCCAAAACCCCCCAAGCCTCCAAAGCCTGAAGGTCTAAGTAAGAAGGCCAAACCCCCCCATATCCCTCAACCGGGTCCCTTTGATAACATCGGGGGCGGGGCCTGGGTGAGGAACTTCGCCCACTATGATGTCCAAAGCATCCTGTTTGACCTCACCGAGGCGGCCATGAACAGAGACAGCATCGGACGGAAAAAGAACATCACCTCGGGGGCTTCGGCCGCCTCCCAGCTGCGCCCCCTGTCCCAGGCCAACCCGTCCTCGCCCGCGCAGGGAGGGGGGGGCAACGGGGTCAACGCAGACGACCCCGAGCAGTCGCTGCTGCTGGACGAAGGCGACGGCAACGATAACGAACTCCTGCTCAGCTGCCCACACTTCCGCAATGAGACGGGCGGAGAGGAGCAGGTGGGGCTGGACCAGTCCCAGGAGAGGAGGGGGCTCTGCCTGAGGACCCCCAACGATGCAGTGTCGGTCCTGGAGGAGCCCAGAGAGAGTCACGTGCAACAGCAGGGGAAGAGCAACTACTTTATAGAGCACGCAGACCTGGGAGCCCATTACTATCGCAAATACTTCTACATGAAAGGTACGTGTAGTGAAGTTCAATTCCTGCTGGTTCTGTTTAGGCAATGGAAAGGAGGAATACTACTTAATATCTATCTAGCTTAACAAAAGTGGAAGTACACAGAGGGTGCTGTTATCACTTTTAAAAATTATAAATCAGAGCATTTATTTTGCAAATGTTCAAAAGAAGAAAATCTTATATTACCATTTATGGACTGTGTAAAAAATAGAAGGAGAGAGGAGGTCAGAAAAAGGACATGGTTATAAATATAAATATAATTTTTTAGATACAGCCGTAATTGCCCAGTACTATTTTTTTGCATACAGTATTATAATTGATATGTTTAAAAATCCATCGTATCTATCAAAAACATCTTCTGTTATCACATGTTGGCTTTCATTATTGTTATAATGGTGTTGAATATTGTTTGTTTATTTCCTTGTTTCTTTTGTAATTGACTCGAATAGTAAGTGGGGATTGCCCCTCAATATTCTCCTGAGTATAAATAAAGGAATGAATGAAATAGTGAATATATTAGGGGGGAGGGTGTTGCCATTAAGAGGAGGGTTCAAAGAAAATATTCATAACTCTGGGGAGGATCTAAATAAAATATAAGATTCAACCCCCCTCTGCACTCTAGTAATTGTCAAACAGTGCTCTATGAGCTTCAGATCTGACACAGTTGTGTTTATACACGTATGATTGTATTGTGATCGCAGAACACCAGAATTTCTTCGGGATGGACGATCGCCTCGGTCCAGTGGCCATCAGTTTCCGTCGGGAGGAGAAAGATGGATCCAGCGGAGCTCAGTACAATTACCGAATCATCTTTCGCACCACAGAGGTAAGCCGGCGCTCTTCTGTCCTCAGAGTTCAGTGTGTGTTAAATCGATCTGACTGCATGTGATGACTCTCCTCAGATGAAGACGCTGCGAGGATCCATCTTCGAGGAGTCCGTGCCTTCTGCCGCGCGTCACACCACCCCTCGGGGCTTGTCTCCAAAGAGGCTGCTGGAGTTCATCATGCCTGAACTGAACCTGCACTGCCTTCGCTTGGCCTCAAACTCCCCCAAGGTCCGGGACACCCTGCTGAAGCTGGACGAACAGGGGGTGAGTACGGATACGTCTGCTGACGCCAAAGATGTGTCAGACAGAGAGCTTTCCAGGACATCGGATAGTGACAAAGGTCAGACTCAAACATTATTTTGGAAAAGCTGACACTCTGAAGTCTCCACAGTGATCAATCAGGTGTGTTAAGATTTCAAATGTGCCACCCTGACACCTTTTCAACATTAAAACGTTTTCCATTATATAAAGGGCTCAATATGTTTGTGTAGTCGTACACAGAACGACTTTTTTCCCCTCAATTTAATTTTGTTCCTTAAGGTTAAATCCGTCCGTATTTTTCAATTCGACAGTTTTTCTGTTGTTCTCAATTGACATCTAAGACAGACTAATTAAATACATACACTACTTTCTGTTTATCACATAGTCATTTAAGTCCTATACCACTAAAATACAATTAATTTTTGATATCCCTTTAAATTTAATTGCAGAATTAACCATTTAAACCCACACCTGCTTCACCTTTCAGGTTAATTACTTCACAATAGGACTGAACAACTTCTTTAAATAAACTCTCAGTTTGAAGCATTTTGCAGCCTGAACTCTCGCATTAATATGAAAGGGGATTAATAGGTTTATTAGTGTAATGTGTGCTGTGCAGGAGTATAACATTTCACAGCGTACATTCTTCCAGACAAGCTTTCTGAGCTGCGAGTAAGATGTCAAATGATCAATATGCCCTATCAGATGAAAGGTCTCGGCAGGGTAATTATAAACTCTACTTCTCTGTCTTCTTCACGCAGCTGAATTTCCAGCGTAAGGTCGGGGTGATGTACTGCCGCGCGGGGCAGAGCTCGGAGGAAGACATGTACAACAACGAGAGCTCGGGCCCGGCGTTCGAAGAGTTCCTGGACCTGCTCGGGGAGCGCGTGCGGCTGAAGGGTTGGGAGAAATACCGAGCTCAACTGGACAACAAGAGTGAGCTGATGAAAAAAAATCACACCACACACCCACACGTATTGGCTGTATCTCACCTTGTCGCAGGATCATTATCCGAAGGGCATCAGTGCCCCGCTGAAAGCATGAGATAACCCCTATCTAGACACATGTAATCTGAGTAATGCCTGCAAAACAGCATAGTCACTGCTGCTATCTCAGAGCTGTTCTCCACTCAGTGAACAGCAAATGAGACGGAGAGTTTGACTCGTTCAATCAGAGACGCGGACTGATTTTGACCAATGTCTGTTTCGATGTGTGATGTGTTTTTCTGTGTGTGTTGTCCTTGTGTAGCGGACTCAACTGGGACACACTCCCTCTACACGCGCTACCAGGACTATGAGATTATGTTCCATGTGTCCACGATGCTGCCCTACACATCCAACAACACACAACAGGTACAAAATAAAACCCATATATATTTCACCAGAGATTTGATTCCCTCCTCCTGCCTTTTGTGTATCTTCAATACCAATTTCATCGCTTAGAATTCACGGAATTACTTTTGCTTCACTGCTTATTCGTAAAAATAAAAAATCAGTCTTGGTATAACCTTTCAATACCAATCTCTGTTCACACTGTCATGTTCTTCTTAATTCTTAAAACATTTTCTTTATTCTGTAAAAAGCATGACATAAAAATCCTGCCCCCCAGTGTTCACTCCCACCAGGAAGGGTTTCACAGTCGCCTCACAGCTGACGTTATTTCTTTATGTGCGGTTTAAGGCTGTTGGATGTAATTACAAAAGACACTGGACATGACATGCTTATATAGATTAAAGGTTTAAATAAAACAAATCATGGTAGTGACAAAGCCCTGAGATTACTCCACAAACTGTCCGCTTTTAGGTAAGGTTTTTTTTTCAGTTCTATTTTTTACTTTGTCATACAAAATGTGCAATAAAGGAACTTTTAGTTACACAATTCTGTATTTTTCTAAGTACAGTATGGTTTCGATTTGAGTTGTGATCACATGGTCATGCAAGCCTATTTAAAAAATATTGAAACCTATATATTGAAACTTATTTTTATTTATTTTTATTTTACAACAACTATTTTCCCAATCAAGCCTTTATTTAAGCATTGATTTGTTTGATTTTTGTGTATGGATGCACATTAGTGTTAGTTAATGCTCATTAATTCCTTTGCAACTACTCCCCCTCTGTATTCAAGGAAAATGCATAAACAAATGTTTACACTACATACAGTAAATACTGTTGCTACAACATGAACACTGCATCCAACAATGCATTATATTAAAACATTACATTTAACCATTTAAATTGCTTGATAAATACATGATATCCAATAATAATGTAATTGTTGTTGCACACCAGAATTAAAGAAATGAAAGAAGGTCTGCTTCCCCTACTAAGATTATCTCTTAAAATCCTTCTTAAAACCTTGTTTTGCTGAATCTCGATATATAAAACACGTCAAACTGTGTCACCTTTATATGGCTCATCTCACTTTACTATAACGACTCTCTCTTAATGGTTTAATAACTGTCTCTCTCTCTCTCTGTGTTTTTACTCTCCAGTTGCTGAGGAAGCGACACGTCGGTAACGACATCGTGACGATCGTGTTCCAGGAGCCGGGTGCGCTGCCGTTCACGCCAAAGACCATCCGCTCCCATTTCCAACATGTCTTTATCATCATCCAGGTTCATGAGCCGTGCACTGACAACACCTATTACAGGTCTGTTAAAAACACCCTTTCACACCCCAAAAATACCATTCCCTCGTATTACAGGCTGACATATCAATAAAATCATTTCCAGCCAGTGGGCTCCAACGTTGGGATTGTTGTTACTATGTGCTCTCTTTCACACGTTGAATACATTATAGCACTTGTGGGGCAGCTCAGGACACAGATCTGTGCTCCCCTGCAGCAGGTTCACTGTAGATGTTTGTAATTCTAGAGAGCACTTCACACCAGTGAAGCCCTCCAGAACAAGACGTTGATCGATCTTGCTGCACCCAGTCTCTTACTCTGTCACTCCTCTTTCCCTCTCTCCCTCTCAGGGTGGCTGTGACACGCTCTAAAGACATGCCGTTATTTGGCCCCCTGTTCCCTAAGGGCGCACGATTCCCTCGCTCCTCCGCCTTCAGAGACTTCCTCCTGGCCAAGGCGGTGAACGCTGAAAACGCTGCAGAGAAGTCGGAGAAGTTCCGCTCCATGGCCACCCGCACGCGGCAGGAATACCTGAAGGACCTGGCAGAAAACTATGTGACCACCACGCCCATCGACTCCTCCACCAAGTTCCCCCTGCTCTCTCTGGGAGGAAAGCGCAAGGACAAGCTGAAGGGCGCCAAAGGGGCGGAGCTGCACAGTGCGGGGGCGCTGGTGTGGGCCGTGATGGTCAACAGCGGGTATGAAACGGAGGCGGGGGAGCACAGACTGCCCTGTCTGCTCGGGGTCTCCGCTGAGTCCGTGGTGCTCATTGAGAGGTGCACGCGCAGGGTGGTGTTCAACTGCTCCTGTCGAGATGTCATCGGCTGGAAGGCGGTGACAGAGACTAAGCAGGGGGGGCCCTACTTGGATATCTTCTACGAGCGTGGGGAGTCAGTGTCAATCAGTGTGATGGAGAGCCAGGCGGAGGACATACGAGAGGTGGTGCAGAGGCTAGAGGTGGGTGATTGTGCTCGGATTTTAAGGTCTCCTATCATGCAAAATTCACTTTTCTATGTCTTTTATACATAAATGTGTACCCGGTGTGTCAGGAGACTCACAAAGTGCCAGAAAACAAAACCCTCTCTCTTTTCCTCCGTACCCAAATCTCAAAAACCGGGGGAAAAACGGAGCAGATCCAGATTTGCGTCCGATATGACGTCATATCGGAAATGTGGGCTGGCTTTACGTCCACGGCCCTATCAGAAACGTTGTTATCAGAAACAATGCGCAACGTGTTTTGGACGTAATATGGTCTTTGTTTACATTAGCAAGCATCGCTAACACTGAGAGCTAACACTGGTGAGTGTATGTGTAAAAAGGATATAAAAAGGTACCTTGTGGTAAACCCGCTCCATACTGTTTCAGAAATAATCCTTGATGTGGTTGTGAACATGATATGGCGTTTCATCACGGCAGCATTTAGCTGAGTATCTCGGTAGAATTCTGAGCAGGCATAAGCTCCCCCCCCCCTCTTTTTTTGTTTTTTTAAAGCTAAGGACCCAGAATCAGCACTTCTCTAACAGGGCTGAAATAGAGCGATATGAGGCATGGCTAGAATGGGTGATCTGTTTGGTATTTTGAGCAAAACACATCATAGACATGTTTTTTATATATTTGTATATATCTGAGAGCCATAATATATGCCTAAAAATAGCATGATAGGAGATCTTTAATGTTTTGCTTTAAAAGGTATACATATTTCTGATTCCTTTCCCTTCTTATGCTCATCCACAGCTGGTGACGCGGGGCTGTGAGGCTCTTGAGGTCACGCCCCTGCGCGACGGGGTGGGGCAGCCCGGCTTCCTGATGAACGAGGAGGGCTTTGTGACGGAGCTACAGCGGTTCTGTTACGCTGAGAGCGGAGGCCTGCAGCTGTGGGCCCGCGTGGTGCGGCTCTGCGGACACTCGCTGGTTCACCTGAGCCCCGACGAGAGGGTCCGGCTGCTCCGCACGGCACACAAGATCCACATCACCGTCATCCCTCCGGACGAGAACGGCAAGCCTCGCAGGTGGGTGAGGTTGAGGATAAGGAGAGGGAACTCTAACAAGGGCACTTTGGGGTCAACAGACACAGAGAATACGATACGATACGATAATACTTTATTGGCGAGATCAAGTCTGACATTTGACTTGCATCACAGCAGCTCCATGTGTAACATCAACATAGACAGATATCAAGAGACAATACATGAAAAACAAACAATTTTTTTTTTAACATAACAGCACAATCAGTGAGAGAAAACATTTTCAATGACCCTTTAGCGTGCATTTCATCTGTGTTTAGAACACTACAAAAACACGAAATCCAAAGTATATTTGTCTAATATCTAGTCAGAATATCTCTTTACACCTGATACAAGACATAATAACTTCAGAAGTAACACTGCAGTGAGATGTCAGGTCTTTTTTTTAGACAATGCATCATCTTGTTGAGTCAAAAAATCTTATTTTGAGTTGTATCTCAGATGAAACACATATTTGTTTACATATTTATCAGAAAATCACCAACTAACATCAGATAACAGAACACCTTTGAGCATTTGCGGCTCATATTGTAACACAACATTTCCTGATTCTGGTCAAATATAGTTCAAAATGAGTTCTCCCAGCTAATTACAAGATCTGGTTTATCTAAATATCCTGTCTTATTTCAAGAAACCTTACCAAGCACATTTTCACTTGTTCTATTGGCAGATTTTTGTACTTATTTCAAGTAAAAACAGCTTGTTTTCATTATAGTTTAACTTGTTTTTGGAGCAGCATTTTTTCCAATGAAAGGGTTCATATACAGAATGCTCCAGAAAGCAGAGAGTAGTCCCAGTGAGAGGGTGAGAGAGAGGTAGACAAATAAGGAGGAGGGGGCTAGTAGTAAGTTCAGTAAAGCAGGAGAGGTGTCACTCCAGGGTCACTGATGACGGCCCGCAGTCAGTGTCACACCAGCTGTCTGACAACCAATCAATCCCTCTAATCATCGTTAATCACACTGGCACAGTCGGTCCCAATGTAAACAGCACACTTGTCATTAAACTGAAATCAGAGGGAGGGCAAGAAGCAGCTGTGGACCGAGCGCTTCGCTTCAGAGCGGCGTTTCAAAGTTGGCAGCAGCCGCATCCTCAGAGGATCCTACCGCTTCATTTATGTTTGAGTCCTGATATGCTTGTTCTGTAACAACAAAGCACAAAAACGTCTTGATAGGAAGTGTTGCTCTGTAATCTCCAAGGGAATAAAATAGACAAATATAGCACTTGTTTCCACGCCTCGTATTTGTTTTTGGCTTCGAGATGACTAAATAGTGCGATGAGAAGCTGGACGAGGCGTGATGACTCTCTTCTTACTCAGCTTGTTGTTGTTTTTGTGTGCTGCAGAAGTTTCTCCGAGCTCTACCAGAAGGCCATCAAGGACGCGGAGTGTAAACCCGGAGAGGATCAGTCCGGAGAGGCCTGGGTGCTGGACGAGAGGGAAGAGGAAGAGGTGGAAGCAGAGGGGGAGGAGGAGGAGGAGGAGGAGGAAGAGGAGGAGGAGGAAGAGGAAGTGAAAGAGGATACGCTGAAGGCGAGTGAGGTCATTGAAGCGGATGTGACAGAGGTGAAGGTGGAGGACGAAGAGGACGTAGGGCGGTCGTGTGATGAAGGGCAAAGTGAGAGAAGTCCCGGGTCGCTCCTCACACCCCCCAGCCTCCCTCTGTTACGAGCCACTTCCCTGCAGGACCAGCCGGCCAATCAGAGCCAAGAAGGAGGCGTCTCACATCTCACACGCAGCTGCTCGTACACCGACACGTGTGATAGGTAAGTGGGGGAGAGATAATAGACATAACAAGATGTTTTAATCTTTGTAGTTACACTGTGAGACCATCAGGTAAAAGTGCTTTTAAATCGTCAAGCATGGCCGAACATATCCTGAAACTGAGGCTGACTCATCACAATTCAATCTCACTCGGTGCGTCACTTTTCCTGCGAAGGACAAGGCATGGAGAAAGGACACAGAGGGATGTGTCACTCTGCCTGAACATTTTAACCTAATGCAAACATTTGAGAATGATGCTTTACATTAGAACATTTCACTTCAATTATCCTTTTTCCATTGATATGTTGTTTTTACTCTTCTGTGTAACTTTTTAACGGTTGCACAGTATAAATCCAGCTCATCAGTATCGATTATCTTTTTGTCCAGACCATTAATGGTTGGCAGCAACAACAAAAAACACATTTCTATTAACCAATCACTTATATTATGGTCTCTGTTCACTATTTCCTCATCCTCTTAAGTATCAAGGTCCTTATCTGGCAGTCGAACTGAAGTTTTAAGCTCCAAGAAGAGAGATAAAGTCATATTTTAAAACAGCTTAACATATTTGTATCTGTCGAACAAATCATTTCTCATCAGGTCTCTGAAAAAGCCACAAGAGATTGAAGAGGAAGTTGTGCATAAAGGAAATATTCATGAGGATAATATTAAAATGCTTTTTCCCGCAAAGCAGAACAGAATATTTTGACCCCAAACTGCATCAGATATGATATTTTTGATAGATGATTTTGTGAGTGTAGCGTAGCAAACATCAATCAGGCCTAAATCTAAGCCATGTCGGAGATTACTTGTCTAAGTGCTCCAGTTTCTGCTTTGTCCTCTGGATTGGATGAAAACAAAATGTCACGAAGCATCAACAGCAGATTTGCTTTGTGTTTTTTTCCCCCCATCACCACCTCCACCACCTTGTCAGGCACGTGTACGACAACGTGGGGCTGAAGGGGGAACGCCACATCTACGAGAACGACGGCGAGCTGAGGGACGCCACGCCTGATCTGATCCTGGCTGTCAAACCCAAAGTTCCCCTGGAGGACGAGCAGGTGAGGGACGGAGACGAGAGGACATCTGAGTGATTTCTCTCCCCCTCCCCTCTCTGACAGTGTCCTCTCCCCTTTATATCTTCTGTCTTCAGTTCATGGCCGCTGAGTTTGGCGATGACAAAGCTTCGGTGAGTGACTCGTCGACCCGCCTGTCGTGTTTAGACCGCGCCGAAAGAAATTCACGAGCCCTAAGTCTTCATAACTCCATCACCAAGAGTAAGTACTTCCTGCTAATGTACATCACAAATCTTATTAACAAAAGGAATGGCATGTTACATCAATTAATACATGTGTAATACACACAGGCCATAAGACTGTTAGACTTGCACTATTTTATCTGTTTTATCTGTTATATTGTGTTGCACTGCTGGAGGAGCCTGTGACCTAAGATTTCCATTGATATATCTACACTGTACACATGACAATAAAAGCCTTGAATCTTGAATTAGGAGACAAAGAGCATTGTTATGTGACCCTGATCATGCACTTAAAACAAAGCTCCCTTCTCAGACAGCTGACTGCTCCTATAAAGCCAAAATGGAACAATTACACATGTTAGCGAATCATCCCCGCCTGATTTGAGTCCCTTTTTTCCAGATTTAAACCCCTCTCTTCATTATGCTCCCTGCCCTCTCCCACTGCATCCCCCCTTTGTCCCTCCTCTTTCATCCCCGCTGCCCCCTATTCCGCTAATCTAATATCACCCCTGCTCTGCTGCCACCCCCTGCCAGGGCTGGGATAAAAGGGGGACAGATGGGAGGTGGAGTTTTAGGCAGCCCCAAATCAAGGAGCCCCTCTTCCACCATCTGCTCTGCCTCCGCTGAGACCCTGAGACTCATCATTTAGTCGCCATAAGAGCACGCTGGCTCGTCCTCTCATCTGATTTTGTGCGGGGGCCGCCTCTGATTGTTTTACATTGCGTTCTTTCACAGGAAGTCCTCGCTTATGCAAAACCATCAGAGCAAAGGCCTACATAGATCTAGAAAAAAGGAGCAATTTAAATGAAGGATTAGATTTGCAGATATTTACAAAAAATGATGTTATTTTTTAAATTTATTTTTTAACTTTATTTTCCTTTTTCTTAAACAACACATACAGTTTCAAGGACAAATAAAAAACAGGTGTGCAAGTTGTCAATTTTTGTTAACCCCCCCCCCCCCCCCCCCCCTCCTACAGAATAAGACAAGAGATTAATAGTACAAAAACACTTTAAAATGATAGACAGACAGATGGTTGAAATCACAGCACAACTAAATTCAAATTCAATTTGGGTCATGATCTTACATTTTTACTTCAATCTACTTCATTTTGGTAAGCTGTATTAAATTATTTTTAAAGTGATGTAAATCAGAATCAGAAATCCTTTATCTGTCCCACAGCGGGGACATTTACATTTTCACAGCAAAGGGACAGTGCAAAATAAAAAGCTAAAATAAATAAGATAAGTATTCAAATCAAATAAGTACACTTCCATGGTAGAAAATAAGTAGCAGCATTATAAGTGAACATAGGTATCAAAGTAGCAGCCAAAAGGTAGAACATTATATTGCCAATATAATATATCAAATAAAAGTCTTATAAAGTCTGCAGGCATTATAACATTTCCTCCCCCTCCCCCCCCTCTGTATTCTGCCCCTGTTTGTGACCAGCTCTAACACAGCAGCATCCCCCAGTGGTGGCTCTTTGTTATTGTAGAACAGCTGATTAAAGTCTGCGGTGCCACTGTATCGTCCCTGCTGTGTTGTATTTGCTTCACTCAGGTTTGTTTAATTAGAAAGCGTGACACATCTCCTCCTCTCTCTCTCTCAGTTCTCTCAGAGACGACAGAGTCCACGGAGGAGGAGTGGCAGTCCATCGCAGACCTGGCAACCGCCTGCCGCAGCATCCTGGAGGCTCTGTCCCGAGAGGGTGAGGAACTGGAGATATTGATCACCTCACTTACCTTAACCCTTATGTTGTGTTCGGGTCTCCCGTGACCCGTTTCAAGTTAAAATTATATAATAACTACGCTCTAGTTTTTTTTATCGGAACAAGGCTTCATGATATCCTCCACAACAGCTTTATAAACACTACAAAACTGATTTTGACCATTTCTGCCAAGTCTGAAGGTCTCTAAAAAAAAAAAGTGGATAATTTGGTGTTCGGGTCTGGGAAGGCCCATCAGCATTGTTTTGGGTGACTCGAGGTCAAATTTGGCCCAATAGAGAGGCGAAGTCCCGCCCATCTACTTCCGACCCATGGGACCTTATTTCGGAAAAATTATGTATTGAAGTCAATGGAGAGAGAAAGATTATCTTTCGATCCCGTTTGAATTGTGCCACGAATTACACATATGATGTTTGTCAATCTTAAAAAATCATTTCCATGTCAAAAAAGTCACAGTTTGTCGTAAAACTGTTGAAATATAAGACTATGAAAAATACGCAACTAGAAAGACTACAAATCCCAGAATCCCGGTCCCGCATGCTGGCTCTTACGGAACCGACTAACTCCCCTTGTGTGTATGTACAGCTCTCAACATGCCCAGACTTGTAGTGATTTTCACCTCTTTTAATACTTTCCGCCTCATTCTGAAAGAAAGAAGTGAAATGTGCCAACGTGACGGCCGTCTAGGTGTGTGGTGCGAGACGGGAGATGTAGGTCATTGAGCGGTTTCACACAAAAAAAAGTGTTACTTCACAGTTTTACGACACATTTTTATTTTTTTGACTTGCAAAATTATCTTTTAAATTGACAAACATCATATGTGTAATTCGTGGCACAATTCAAACGGAATCGAAAGATAATCTTTCTCTCTCCTTTGACTTCAATACATACTTTTTCCTAAATAAGGTCCCATGGAGGTCCCCCGGAAAGGGAGGGACTTCGCCTCTCTATCAAGATTCATCTTTGACTTTAGACGCCCCTCCCCCACCCCCTTCATCAACTGTAACAATAATTTTTCGCAACATGCACCTGGTCTCCCCTCCCTCTGCCCCCCTCCCCCCACGGGAACTCAACCTTTCTCAAAGAATATGTACACTAACACTTGAACCTGAACACACATATGCACGTGTGCAATATGTGGTGTAATGTGTTTTGAGCCATAACATTAAATTACAACAGGATTGTACGGTTATGAATGCATAATAAGTTAGTTATGATGTAGTTAAAACAATATAGGATGATAGTCATTTTTGTTTTGTGTTTTGGACTGAGATAAATCATGGGTAAAAATTGACCCGCGAACACCATGAACGGTAACAGCTTTTGAACACAACACAAGGGTTAATATAGTATAATAAGGTGTCTTTGTGGTAATGTCTTTTGCTGGCCCTAGGCTCTGGAACACTCTGCCCCTCCATGTGAGGTCGGTCCAGACCCTAGGGGTTTTTAAATCTACTCTTAAGACACACTTCTTCTCCCTGGCCTTCTAGTCAGAGCGGAGCACGACTCCTGACTTTTCCCTGTGTTTTTTATATATCTGTTGTAATTTATTGTCTTTTATTGTGATTGTAGTAATGTGTTTTTATTACATGTACAGCACTTTGGCTCGACCAAAAATCGCTTTTAAATGTGCTTTATAAATAAAACTTGATTTGATTTGATTAGAATCAATGGTGGAAGCAGTATTCTTATCCTTGGCTCTAGTTAAAGGGCAAAAACAACACTGTGAAATACACCACTACAAGTAAAAGACCTGCAATTAAATGTTACTTATATAAATATGTGTAAGTATTATCAGTTAAAAAAATTATCAAAAGTACTCGTTCTATATAATAATTGGTCAACTTTATTGTCAATCTTTCAGTTTGTGTGTACAGACAGAGAGATCGAAATACCGTTTTCCACAATCCCGCATACAAAAATACAATATATATAAAAATATGTATAAAATATGTATATCCTATGTATACACAATCAACAGACACATTTATACATATGCACACATTAAGATAAAAGCACAACAATCAATATATACAAAATAACAGTCACTTCAATATCTTTGGGAATGTACATTAGTGCAAGATCACCTCTCTTACTGTAATATAGTATAATAAGATGTCTTTGTGGTAATCATGGGTGGAAGCAGTATTCTTATCCTTGGCTCTAGTTAAAGTACAAAAACTACACTGGGAAAAACACCACTACAAGTAAAAGACCTGCAATTAAACCTTACCTAAGTAAATATGTGTAAGTATTATCAGTACAAAGAAAAATCAAAAGTACTTATTGTGTATAATAATTGGTCGAGCCAAACGGCTCGCTGCACCCGCACTGCGAGGGGGACCCAAGTTCCCATCAGCAAAAACACGTGGGTTTGCTATCCTGGCTCCAAAATGGTGGAATGAGCTCCCCATTGACATCAGGACAGCAGAAAGCTTACACATCTTCGGGCGCAGACTGAAAACTCATCTCTTTCGACTCCACTTCGAGCAATAAAATGAAAAAAAAACAACAACAAAAACGCACTTAGATACTAACAAAGGACTGGCTTATCTAAAGCTAGTTGAGTAGCACTTAAATGTTTTGGCTCTGTGAAACCTGATGTACTTATATGATTCTGTTTTCTTCTAGTTTGTATCTTCTTGGTCGAATGCACTTATTGTAAGTCGCTTTGGATAAAAGCGTCAGCTAAATGAAAATGTAATATTTGGATTAGTATTACTGCTGCATTGAGGTGTATGTTGCATTTTCCTTGTGTAGATGTTAAAGGTTGTGCTTATTTTTTTACATTTGTATACTGGCTTGTTTAATCCACAGCAATGCATAATTGTTATAAGATCCTCATATGTCCAAAGAATGAAATCTGTTAAATGTCAACTGGTCAGTTTTGTGACGATTTCAAAAGGGTTTTAAATAGTTTAAGGTCATTTTTTCTCAATATGTATCAGAGGAGGATACTCAAATAAAACACAAGTACTTTTAATTTCTACTTATATAGAGTAGGTACTTTTGGGGGTTTTCGAGTGTGATTTTCAGTAATTGGTGTACTATTGGCTATATAAAAAAAACACAAGTATGATGGATCCACACTCTAAATGAAGGTTAGTTGCTTAAGTAAGTGTATATATATTTAAGGGGCTGTAAAGGCTTGTATGTATGAGGGATGGTGAGAAAAATAATTTCGATCCCCCTGTCTGTGTAACACAAATAGAGGAATTGACACTAAAGTTGGCTTTGATATATTTCAGCATATACTAAGAAAGATTATCCGTACTTTTGTCTCCCTCCGATTTTTCTTTTCATTATTTTAAACTACAATAATGTGGATGATGTTCTCTCCCACAGACCGTAAAGCCGGAGACCCTTCCCAAGCCGGAGTCGACCAGACGGACGGAAAGCTCAGAGACTCAAAGGACAGGTGGGTTGCTACAGAACACTCAGGGGGATCCAGACGGTTCCATACCTCTGTCCTTAGTGTCTTGGTTTTCTTTTTGACTGAGTCTTTGCACACGTCCCTTTCCTCAGCTCTACTTCTTTATTCTCTCTCAATTATTTAGACTTTATCGGCCACGTCCAACTGTTTGAGTCAATGCGATGGTTTCTCCCCCCATAAAGAGAGCGCTCATGCTGACTCAGCGATGCACTTCTGCATGCACACGCACAGCTTGTCTGACTCACTGCTGTGGTCTTCTTTTTGTTAAACTCCAGCTCTGATCCATTTTATTCCAGGTTTTTTTTCAGCCCCTGCGTCGCATTATTCTCTCCTCCGTGCTGTGTCTCAACATGGCAAGTGAGCAGAACTATCGGTCAGAAGTAAAACAGAAAAATGGGTCAATAACAAATAAGCAAGCACCAATGTGAAGCTTTTCCTTAGAAGAGGTCTGAATGATTTACAAGCACAGTTTATATCCTCCCACGTAGTGTACAGGTCAGAATATAAAAATAGGTGAATAACAGAATTAGATTCAGATGATATGTGTGGAATAAAAGAGACATCTGCAAAAATAATCTCTTTGAAATTGCACTTTTGGATAAATTGTACAAATAAGCTTTTAAAGGGCCCAATTATTCTCCTTTTCAGGTTCACATTAGTATTGTGCGCCTCTACTGTGACATGTCTCCTGTTCTGCAGCACCTCTTTTCACCCTCTGTCTGAAACCAGAGCCCAGTCTGCTCTGATTGGTTAGCTAGCGGGCTCTGCTATTATTGGTCAATCGCTCAAACCTATATAACAGACTACAGGAAAGGGAAAACCCCAGAAAGATAACACGGTCCCTTTAAACCAGGGGTGTCAAACTCAAGGCCCGGGGGCCAAATCTGGCCCGCGACTTCATTTTATGTGGCCCCGCAAGAGCTTGCAAAGAATATAATACGTTTATTATACGGTTACATGCCACTTTACAGAAGCAGGTTGCCCATAAACTACATGTCCCACAATGCATCTCGTTTTGTGACATGCGCACTGAAGAAACTTGCAATTATTTGCCCTGGACTTCTGCTTTCAGACGTAGTTAATTACTAAGTTATTATCCTATCCGATAATAATCCAATTCAGAGGCAATAATGTCATATAATACATTATTTTATATATATTTATATATGTATATTTATATAGTTACCACCGGCCCGTTGAGTGCAACCATAATGCTAATGTGGCCCGCGATGAAATTGAGTTTGACACCCCTGCTTTAAACTAATCATAACACAAATATATTTGGCTTGATGGTTAACTTTCAAACTTAAAAATACATTTAAATCCCGAAGAAATGTGTCGACAATGTCATGTTTTTCAATCCAAAGCATTATCAAGCTGTTCCGATCACAAGGAGACAAGGAGCGTTGTTTTGTATAACAGCAGTCAGAGGAAATGCATGATGGGATGGTATTTTTCACTTGAAAAGGGTCTGCCTGTCAACGTTAGCAATTACTATCAATTGATCTATAATTTGAACATTAATGGAACGGGAATGAAGTCTTCAGCTCTGCCACGGCTCGACGACCAATCACACTAATTGAAAAGTTGAATCCGTATGAAACGAAGAATGGCTGGATAACAGGAGAATATAACTTTACTAAAGAAATACAATACTTAATATGAAATGCAACAGTGAAGACATCCATCTTGTTGATTCGTTGCTCGTTAACCCATGTCTGCCCTTTTGATTCTGAATGCTGTGATTGCTGTTGACGAAGTGTCACTGCCTCTCTCGTTGCAGTGACTCTCCAGGCCACCTGGAGGAGAAGGTGTCTCAGCTGGAGTCCATGCTGAAGAGGCTGCAGGATGACCTGCAAAAGGTGCTTTGACTTTCATGAATGTTTCTTCTGTTCTGTAGTTACTTTTTCAGTGAGCCCCACGGGAGAGTAAGCAGGTAGGAGAAAGAGTTTCGATTGTTCAGCTTCTATCGCTTCTGTGCGAGACGATTTGTATTTTCTCATGCAGGCTTTTGTTTACGTGTAGAAAACCTCCCGGCTATTCGGCCATTTTAAGTTCCAGCGGGCTCACTGTGGATGCATTAAATACAAAAAAACACTCAAAAAGCATTTATTTATTTATTATGTTGTTGTAAATTTGTACAGTAACATTTAAGATTTTTTTTTTTAAATATTAAAAGATCATACTTTTAAAAGAAATGTATGTACGACAACTCCTTTAATGCTGTTATCAATATTTTCTAGTACATTTCTAAAAATGTATGTATGTAAAAGTACTGTATGTAATGAATTCCTTAGTCTTATTCTTAAATTCAGAAACAGAAATGGAAAATTCTCAACACAAAGTCGAGATGTCAACCACATCTCACGATCTTGTGTTGAGAACTTTTGGTAAATATTGTATTTGTCTCTGTGTTTACACATATTATATAAACATATTATTTCTCCCTACTATATGGAACATTTTCTATTTATTTTTAACTATACTATTTTCATTATTGATTCATCCAATGAATATTTTCAACAATTCATTGAGTCTATGAACACTCAAGAATAATGATAAAATACCCATTTAATGCTCAAACAGTAAGTTGCTCAAAAGAAAATTAAACTGATTAAAATAACCGATAAATCGTCTGTCGTTTATGAAGTAACGAATGAAACAAATGTGCTGCTTTTTTTTCTGTTTTATATAATCAGTACATCTAATATATTTGGGTTTTGGGTGGTTGGTCGGAAAGCACAATTTAAAGCTGTCACCTTGGGCTCTGGGCTAATATGTTGTAAATGTTTCAATACTTCTTGACGTGACATTTCATTCATTGACAAATAATCATCTGATAAATCAATAATGAAAAACAATCATCCCCTACAGCCGCTGATTTGTTTCTTACTCAGTCTGACCAGCAGCCTTAAACCCAAATTTGACTCCTGTCATTTCAAATCTGATTTTCCACCACAGAAATGATCAGTTCAGTGTCTCAGTAGTTCAGTTTTTGGATTGTGGGTTTCTTTTCCTCCACTGCAGCGTGGTCTACACTGTTGCTGTTGTTTTATTTCAAGCTCTGTGTTTATGTGTGCCCACTAGTTTCCTTAAAGCCACCGCTGTACCTGTCGCTCCCCTCCCGTGCCTGCCACAGCGATCTGAGCGACGGCTTTTGTTTTGTTGTGTGCCGATGTCTTTCAGGAGAAGGAGGACAAGGCGGTGCTGCAGGCCGAGGTGCAGAGCCTCCGGCAGAACAACCAGCGGCTGCAGGAGGAGTCTCAGAGCACGGTGGCTCGCCTCATCAAAGTCACCGAGCTGCTGTGCAACGTCAACAAGCCCTGTTAGCCTCACACAGAGACACACACATCAGCGTAGAGATGCAAACCGTACTAGCTTGTACTGTACGCTCAGTATACTTATTTTGCTCGTAAGGCAGACACACACGCATCCTCTTCGATCTGTGTATTATCACAGTCTTAAATCCTGAATCTTGGACCTGCATTTTGGTGAGGGAGTATGCAAAATCAACCCATAAAAAAGAAAGAAAATACATTTTTCAACATTCATAGACTGACCAGCTCTGGGGCTGCTGCTATGCCAGAGTGCTTCTCTCAGTGTGTGCCATACAGCACGTGCGTGGATGTGTGTGTGCGTGTGCGTCTGTTTGTGTGCATCTCTTCCTGTACCTTGCTTCAAATACTTGACAAGCTTGGCTAAATAGCACTTGCATAAAAAGTGGCAATTAAGACTGAGAGACACTGTATAGCATGTTTGGTGGTGTCTTATCTGAAATGACCAAAAGTGTATATATATATCACCGATAATATATGTGAACGGTAGTAATTGCTCTCCTCTCTGCCACGCGTGTAGTCGCAATGTCTGAGTGTGGCTCTGCCCCGGCGCTGATAGTGTGGAAGGCCTTGAGAGAAAAAAAAGGGAACGTGACAATGACAGGCCTGTAGGCAGCATTCTACTTCAAAAGATGTAATGATGCTAACTGACTAGCCTCAGAGCAAGGCCTGTTATGTAAGGACATCACTCTCTGCCCATTCACGTCTCAGTTATTAGGGAGAGACTATCTTTAAAAAGCTCGTACATGAAAAGGAAGTAAACTGGAAACAAAAAGAACCGAGCATGCTTATTCCTCCTGGAAGTATGTATGAAAACAGTATTAAAGGGATACTGAAAAGGGTCAAACCTCTCGTGAAGACGCAGACAATGGCAGGAAAAGAACTGCTTCAGCTTCCTCCCATGATTGCCTGTAGCTGTTTTCTTCTAACCTCACTATTGTAGCAGTCATACTGTAGAAGACCTCCTCCTGCTGGCCTGAAACACAAACGCCAAAAGGCAGCTTTCTTTTTTCTCCAGCTGGCAAAATAGCTTTAGGTGTCAGAATAAAGCACCTGGAGATAATACAGAATATTGTTTGGCGGATGTCTACAGTGACTATTTCGGGTAATTGTTTAGTATGGCTTATGAGTGGTAGAGGTAGGTGACGTCTTACCATTCCACCCTGATGTGTGAGTAACTGTGTTTCTGTGTCGTTCTTGCACTTTTTTGTTGTTAAATCATCACTGGATGGGGCACATACTGTACTGTACTTCATTTAGCCCAGGCTATGTCAACATAAGGAGGTGGATATGATCTCGCCCCTTACCTCACCTTTTTGTGTCCACTGCTGATGGCGCTGATACTGAAATGCGTGTTCAGAGGAGTCGGAGCTCTTCTCCTCCAGTGCCAATGAAAAAAGCCCAGGCAGCTCTCCTGAATCCCACCGAAATAAAACCGAACTGTCCACAAACTAAACCCCGACAAAAAGGGATGCCAAACGTTCACTCAGACTCTCTTGTTTCTTGTACAAAACTTCCTCTTGTAATTTAATTTTAGAGTCACTGTGAATACCTGGTACCAGCATATTAACAGTATATACAGATTAAATTATGAATCTAAACTTTATCAGTATGTGACGATACTGTATGTACAGCTGTTCCATGTTAACTAGTGCATTGGGGTTGTGTATGCCCTCCTTTTTGCAGGACGATTATGCAGAGAAGTGCTAATGCAGGCGTCCTGCTTCCTCTCCTGTACATGCTGAAGCCTCGCGACTCAACAGGGAGACGGGGGGGGGGGGGTGGGTGGGAAGACCTGTTTTACTGTGTCCTGTACAGTATAGTTATTTAGATTGTAGGAGGTTGGTCCAGCATGAGAATGTGCCAAGCAACTTCCAGGCTCCCCTCTGTATGTGTGTATGTATAAAATGTAACTTATTAATCATGCAAATGTGGATTTTCTTGTAGCTGTTTAAACTGGAGGGAAGGCTTGAGGAAAACAAAATGTGAAACAGGGCAGAAAGGAAAGGTTGGTTATACATTTCTTTTGTAAGAGACCATCAACCATGATATGACAAAATCTGCTAATCTTGCTAAATGTGACTTTGGGTCTTATTATTATAGTTTTTAGCTATTTCAGCCATAGCTCTGATTATGTGAAGGCTTATTTCTTTGACTTTGTGCCTATCAGAAAATGTAATGTATGCTAACCCAGCTTAGTGACCTCATTTCTTTGTCTTTGGTTTCACTAACTGAGGGTTTTTTGTGGCAGATGTAGGATTTTCTAAGAGACTGTGACAACATCTGGTCTTTCATCCGCCGTGCAAGGAAAAAGTCATTAAGTTACACTCGAAAGAACAGATAATAATAATAGATGTGTGTTGTTGGTCTGAAGAATTACCATAAGCTCGTTGAGTACCGATTGTTCAAGAAGCAAACCGACAAATATATGGTTTTTAAAAGCAAATTAAAAGGAAAAACAGTGCTGAAAATGACTGATGATGCATTGAAATCCAGTTGAAATATGAATGTGTTGAATGGCGTATACGCTTCCTCTAAGGAATGATTATTTTGGTATTTAAAAATAAATGGTTTAAGAAAATCCAGCGGAGTATTTGGAGAAAAACAAATCTGATTGTGGCTCAATGACCTCAGAGGGATGAGGAGGGAGGGGGGGAGAAACAACAATATTTTGGGCATCACATGCATCTACTAATATGGAAATAAGTTGATACAGATGTTTTGTCAACGGCGCCACAAATTTCCCGAAGGCAGGCGAGCTTCCTTAGAAATATGATGCTGGGCGGTGTTGTTGAAAGACAGATAACAGGATAAACTAAAACTAATCGAGTAAAAGTTCAGAGATTTTTAAATATTTTCTATCCAACACAGACAGCAGAGAAGACCACTATGGAAAAAAAGGGTTTTAATTGGGTAGTTTAGAGAAAAAACAACATTTGCACATTATTTAAGACTTCAAGCAATCAATTTCTTACTTTACACCTCTATTTAATTTAGATTGAACAGAAAACGATTAAAAGCGCAATGATATGTTACGTTTTTAATTATTTGCATGAGTGAAATTACCAAGAGGGAAAAGTGTTTTACCTTTAAACCCTTTTTTAAATTATTATTGTTCATGTTGTCATATTAGGAATATGATATGGTCACGACTTTAGGGACTACACATTTGGATAATTTGTCCAGGAGCAGACGTCTTGATGGTCTCACATGTTGGACTGGAGTCTGGAGCTGAAATAGAGCCGAATCTTCAACTGAAAGCAGCACAGGGAGAAAATGATTTTACAGTTTTGACGTTACACGACAAGAGATTTCACTTTTTTTACCCTCATCTTTTTCATATAGACTATACTCATTTCCACCTCTACTTATATTGCTAGATATAAATACTAAAAGTGAGGGGCCATCCCTTCTGTCTGTTTCCTAAAACAATGTTGATTTAAGGCATCAACATTATTTTCTCAAAGTGGGTGTCATGGCCAAATCCGATTGGCTGCAAAAGGAAAATGTATATGTCAATTTATAAAATAGAATGAAAGCAAAAGAAATATGTGCAAATAGAAATTGACTCACAATGTGGTTCTAATAAAAAAAATGTAGATTTACATAGGTATACAAAAATGTATTTTTGGTATAAAAGGGAAAGTCCAGCAGTGGAATAAGAACTAAAAAATCCTGCATTCAAAATCGTATTAGCACCTGAACAAAATTATCTATAGTCCCCTTTATGAAGAATGGCTTAACCCTAACAATTGTGTTCCTGATTTATTATGGTCTAAACTTTTCCTTAATATTGTCATGGAGCACATTTTAAAATATAGGGATATCATGTTTAGTGGTTTCATCTAAATCCATGCAGATGTTTGAGTAAACAATATGAAAGTAGGCGTGTGAGCAGATGGGTAATGAGTTGGTATCAATCTGCAACCTCAATGATAGATGACGCCAAATCCTATATGAATGTAAAATAACTTGTTTTATTATATATTATTCCAAGAATTTCATCCAGCCAGGAAAAAATGATTGAACAAACTACCAGCTGCTCGCACTCTGCCCGGCTCTCAATGCCCTTCACCAGTCTTCATGAAGCTACTCACAGAACAGGTGTGAGTACTAACAACAGCCTGTTTATGTTGGAGTAAGTGCCTGCTACTATCACAGGACAAGAATCAGCAACACTGGGCTGGGTTTTTCAGCTGGATATTTTTTTAATTTAACTGAATCTTGCTAGCTTCTGGGATATTTTACACCTTTGCTTTCAGTAGAGTACTAGATTAAATATACTTGGTTACACATGGGGAAGGTCATGCTTGAGGTACTTTTAAAGAAGTATTCGTTTTAGATCTGGATCTTCACGGCAAATTAATTCTCCAAGGAAGAATACAGCACAGGCATCAGACAGGACACAGTGTGTAGAGAATAGCAAATAGCTGAAATGGTTATGGTTCATCTTAGACTTGATCAGCCAAACCTCATTATTTACCTGAAACGTATATATGAGTGGTTCTCTACACCCAGAGTATACTGCAGTGATGTTCCAGTTGTAAATCAATCTCACAGCTGAAATGAAAACCATCAACGCTGAGAATGAGGAATAGAAAACACTCATCTCTTCACAATCAAACTGTTTCATGCTCTAAATCAGATGTTTGAGGTGATATCACAACACACGGAAAACATAACACGGCTCATTAGTCGTTCATATTTATCTGAATGATCTGGTTTTGCTTTAGAAAATACTTTAATGTGTTAGAATAATACGACTGTTGAGAAAACTTGTAATCGTGACTGTGAGCAAGACTTATTGTGACAATGCATGTGGACGCTGAAGGGGTGCAGCAGTAAAGAACTGGAGCTCTGTGTGACCACCACACTTTGAAAGGATCCAAATACATGACAGTTTAACTTCCTGTTTGTCACTCAGATCAGCTGAACAAGCACAGTGGGGCGCTGGTGTCCCTGACCCTTCAAATCTCCCCAGAATAGCTGAAAAGTTGTAGCACAGCTTTGTTTGTATAGATATCCTCTGTCATGTGACATCTGAAAAATGCTGACAGTAAACTATAAAGCCCCCTCAGTTGAATCTGATTTATCTTTATAGTTAGTATCAACATATAAAACCAGCCTGTATGACATATGTAGAGATTTAAAGTGAGAGTTTAAAAACAGTTTGATTGGATGCACATTCCCATCTCCCTGAATTGAAATAGCACGAGGTAAGACAAATACACTTTCCAAAGCTGCTTCCATGATCATACAGCATACAAACATTTTCCAGGACTCTGTGCTCTGGAAGGTTTTCCTAAACACCAGCCGCAGAAAAACGCTTCATCTTCCCTGGCCTGACAGCAGGAGGAGCACTGGTGACAACAATGCGCTGGCCGATGTCTTTATTTGGGGTTGGAGCGCAGGACGGACTCTTCACTAGGGGCGATGTGTCACACACAGCTCAAGGGCTTTACGGCAGTTTGACTCACCCGTGTTCTGTAAATACAGAGGCCATGTGTGTGTGTGTGTGTGTGTGTGTGTGTGTGTGTGTGTGTGTGTGTGTGTGTGTGTGTGTGTGTGTGTGTGTGTGTGTGTGTGTGTGTGTGTGTGTGTGTGTGTGTGTGTGTGTGTGTGTGTGGGGCCAGGCCACTGTTGCCCCATACAACCAGTATGAGGCCTAATGTGAGTCTGCCTGCATCATCACGTCTGTTTTCCTGCCATAAATTAGACTTGACATCACTTGTATGAGTCAGATTTCTTAGCTTTGATCCATACTACACATCTACAACTACAAACAAGTTAGGTGTTAGTGTAAAGTTTAGAAATACGCCCAATAGTTTATGTATCCACCCCAACATGCAATTATATAAACAATTTAACACGTTTCATTAGTTATACTTGGATTTAAAAATGCAAAACTTCTTTATGTTTTGACCTTGAAGTTTTAGGACTCTGTAGCAACAAAACTAATATGCAGGTTCAACACATTTCTGTGGAAAAAACACTTTGTACAGAATGCAACCTGTTAATAAATGATGCACCTCATATAACAAGCCATGTACGTCATAAATCCATGAGTCCCGCCCTCTTGTCATAAACTCAGTTAAACATTAAAGAATGAAAAACTCCAGGACACTGCAGGCCTGGTGCAGTACGAGGCTACTTTCTCGGCTATCATTTTACTGAAGTGAAGGTATTTTTTAAGCGCTTAATTTTGAGTAGGAGACATAAAACAGACTACTTCCACTGCACAGTTCATGCACGTTTATGCAAAAGGCTTTGTGTACTTTAATATAGGCCTACTTTCTGGGAAACTGGCAGCAGACCGCTATGCCGCAGTGTTTCTTAATCTTCACCATGTTTCTGGAAGGTCTCCATGTGACAAGAAGTCAGTTTCATAAAACAGACAGCAGGGATGGCCCCTCACTTATAGCATTGTTATCTATAGCAATACAAGTAGAGCTGGAAATGAGTATAGTAAAAAAGATGAGGGAAAAAAGGTGAAATCTCTTGTTGAGTAACGTCCAAACTGTAAACACATTTTTATCTGACCTCACCTACTTTTATCTGACCTCACCTACTTTGGTTTGTACTATATAGCAGTATATGATTATTATGGCTGTTATCTCTCCACCTTAATCCCGTACATCCACACCCATGCACTTGTTATTCCACTGCTTGACATCTGGTGGCGATAACACACACAGAAAGCATGGTAATGCACCCACAAAGGCATAGAAGAAGAAGAAGAAGACAATTCAAAACAATTCCCAAATGTTTTATGAGGATGCAAATGTACGGGCCAAATGCTAAACATAATAGGTTCACTTATTTTATTTGACAAGAACTCCCCACATAAAGATGTCATAATCACATATCAGTTTAGGGGGAGATTTCTTAAAACCTGAAAACATTACTGATTTACTGATGTATTCCCTGTTTAAGGTTCTCTACACTTTATTTATATGAGGGACTGATTATTAGTTTGAATTTTGGTGTAGCTGATTCCTCTTTTCACTTAGCTATTACATCTAATTAGCAGCACCAGGTGTGTTCTGCTAATCAAGAGCTGTTGGGTGCAGAGAAGGTAAGATGGAAAATGACATGTAGTGTTTATGGCTCTTCAGGATCTGTTGTTGGCACCACTGCTAGGCTACACGGGCTTTTTAGTGTGTATGATTTAATCATGGGAGTGAAAACATGGTTAGCCTCCCATAGCAAGGGTCAATAGACTTAAAGGTGGAGTAGGTAATTCACTTCAGAAACACTTTTTGTTATATTCCATGGAATGCTCTTAACATCCCGATAGCAATGAATACATTAAATGCTTTGACAATAAATATATACAAATATTTCATCTGTGGAAGCCGTGGCGCTGTAAAAAGCACGACCAATCATCTGCCCCGGCCCGGGTCAGCTAATTGGATGGCCTACCTGCCTGTCAGCCTTCCATCTCGTGCACAAACTTATCTCGTGCCCTCATTGGTGATGTGCGCGTTCGTGTGTGTTGGAGGAGGGGCTCTGTAAGGAAGTCTGAAGGAAGTGGCAGATTTGTTTCGGTTGTGTAGCCTACTTTCAAATTCTAGCGCACTCTAGCTGGTTTCTCCATTCTTACCTACCCTACCTTTAAACAAAAAAGGCGGAGGTGTCACAAAGGGAGTCGTGAGTTTGTCGCCGCCTGGTGGCCAAACAGGGAAACACAGTGTGTGAGCAGAGAGAGACGGAGGGTGGGAGGGAGAGAGAGTGGGAGAGAGAAAGAGAGAGAGAGAGAGAGAGGGAGAGAGAAAAGGAGGCACACAGAGCTCGGAGCATGTCGCCTCCTGTTGCTGAGCCTCACTGTGGGATCTGCTGTCGACCTTTCAGACTGAACACATGAACGCAGAAAGCTTTTTTTACGCGTTTCCTCGCTATGTGAAACCCGGAGGTTTGTCGGAGTGAACCAGCTCAGCGGCTGCTCTTAGTTCCGAGGGGGGGGGGGGGAAAGCACTGCTTGTCATTGCGGGGATAGTTTTTTTTTTTACACAACTTGGCAGAGAAGTCGCTTGCTGCTGGTGCTGGAGCTGTTTGTTTGCAGATAAAGTGTGAAACAAGTGTCAAAAAAGAGAGCAACAGATGTTTCTGGAGGATATGCGGCCGGCTGAGGAATGAGAGCCGCAGCGAGGCACCGGCGGCCCTTCCAGCGGTTCTGCTGCTGTGGACTCGGGCTGGTGGCTGTCATGTGGATCGCTCAGGTCCTCCAGGCACCAGGTGAGACCTTAATATAGACTACAGGCTGCGCGCGCCTGCGAGCGTGCACAACAATTATAATCCTATGGATATTATTAGACACACTGGGAAATTAAGGATGCACCATTCAACATGCTTCACTTACTGATTATACAGCGTGCACAATGTGTGTATTTTATGTGAATCTAGACATTTTATGTGTGTGGCCCTAAAGGGGCTGCTATCAGGAGCCCACCTTTTATATTGATGCTGCACATAAAGTTATATTTCTTGTATTAGAATGAAATCAAAAGCAAATCAATTCTAATTTTGTCTTACCCCTATTAAAACAGATCCACATTTAACTGTCACTGTCTTAATAGATAGCTACATTTGATAAATGAGTAGACAATTGATGCATTAACAATAATGTAGGGCACAACATGTGGTGCTTTGTCTTCATTTGGAGCAAGGATCCAATATACTTCCCCTTCCCCTTATCTATAGATCCAAATGTCATCTGTAATAAGGCTGAACATAAGAACATCTTAAGTGTCTTGTGTAGAAATATTACAATTGACAGGTGCTACATTCATCCATCAAACCACCACCATGTAATTGTCTAAATAAGAAAGGAGCATCATTTGAAAAGCACACTTCTGATTACTGTGCAGAATGGGGCCATTTCTGGAGGCAAATATGGTCTACGAAGACGAAGTAGCAAATAGTGCTGCGTGTGAGACGGCTGAATCACTGCTCTAAATATTGAAATCTTAGTTGAGTTTTTTCTAACTCCTAACAGTCTCCCAGCTTCTGTCCCTCTGGTCCAATGTGCTCCGCTCACACTGCAGGAAGGTGACAGGTTGTTGATTACATAAAGCAGACAGACATTGTGGCATGTATAAATCCAATCATTTGGGTTTAGTTATTTGTGGATCGACCATGGTTATTTTGTCTCAGCAGGAACACTGTGTCTGTGAATCTGACGTATTCTGAAACAGACTGCCTGCCCTTTTAATTCCTGCCTTTTTCTCTGGCTGTTAATGAGACTAATAGGTTTTATATAGCATAAATAGATAAATAGTAAATCCTTGTTATTTGTCTTGGAGCCTTCTATTTATAACCCAGCATCATAATCCATTCATAGCCAGGATGAGGTGATGTTTCCTCCTTAGATGATGCCTCATTTTCAGCAGTGCACCTAAAGGCATCCCCACCCCGCTCATTATCCTCTCATCACCTTTGCTGATGTTGTCACACACGGTCACACACACTCATCCGCAGCTTCAGCCCCGACAACACCATTCCCTGTCATCCTTTGTGCATTAGAATGATATGAATGATTGAACTCTCAGGATGTGTTTTATTCAAATGTAGGTACCACCCTAGTATTGCATGCGAGTACTGCAAGAGTTTCCCAGTGAATGATCCATGTCATTAATATTTATACTTCACCTTTAGAGTATGAGTGGACCATCAACCAGAAGAGGTTTTTTGAACCGAGATCAAGGCCGCTCAACTTAAACCTTATAAAAGCACGCGGCAAGGCATGTGGTCTGCTGTTTGTAACGGGGACAGGCAGGTTCTTTTTGCAATGCTTGGAAAATATTACACATACTGTAGCATCCTGAACAACATGGCTTGCACAACCATTTATGGATGTGCCGTATCAATGTGGGTCGACCCTAGGAAAAAACATTGGATTAATATCATAATAACTTACAATAACACCATTAACTTGATGGAAAATGTATGTTGGAGTTGTGAAGGAAACACTTCAAGAGTAAAACAATTGCAATCATTGTTGGAAGCAATGAATAAATTCAACACATTTCTTTGCTGAAGATCGCCAACCATTTTTCATGTTTGCAAACGTGGGGTTTTGATCCTTTACACAACATTCAAGCCTCTCTAGCAAACCTTTTATCTCAAACATATCTCCGTTTTGTTTACACTGTGCAAGCAAGTGGTGGATTCCTTTTGAGATATTTATAAAAGGCAGCAGCCGTGGTTCTAACAGCTGACACTTAATGATCCCTGTGTGTCCCATGTCAACACACTGGACAGACTAAAGTTGAGCGTTGATTGAAAAGGTACGACAGTTTCCCTTCTTTGCTTTAGCTTAGCTTTTAAACAGTTCAGTAAACATTGAACTGACACAAACTGATTTTTGATTTTATGGTCATCTTTTAAAGTGCACATATGAAAAGTGTTAGCAACAATTGTTTATGACAAGGAGCATAATGCTGATATTTACCTTTTTGCGTTTAGGCGTCCCTTCAGGCTTAAAGGTGGGGTATGTCATTTATTTCAGAAACACTTTTTGTTATATTCCATGGAATGCTCTTAACATCCCGATAGCAATGAATATATTAAATGCTTTGACAATAAATACATTAAAAAATGTCATCTGTGGAAGCCGTGGCGCTGTAAAAAGCACGACCAATCATCTGAGCCGGCCCGGCTAAAATAACTGGATGGCCTACCTGCCTGTCAGCCTTCCATCTGTGCACAAACTTATCTCGTGCCCTCATTGGTCATGTGCGCGTTCGTGTGTGTTGGAGGAGGGGCTCTGTAAGGAAGTGGCAGATTTTTTCCGGCTGTGTATTTTCAAATTCTAGCGCACTCGAGCTGGTTTCTCCAAAATGACCTACCCCACCTTTAATGTCAGTAGTTTTTTTCACTAGTAGCCATCCTTTCAAATACATCTTATTTGAATCCATTAAAACAATTTAGATTTGGATCATCATAGCTGCCTTAAAGTTACTATTATTTCCTCCCCTGACAGTGTGATTCCACCTTGGAAATATTCACAAAATTACTTTCATTGCAGACACACAAAAAGATTCAAATGCCATCAGAATAATTTTATATTTGCTCCCATACTGTAGAAGTCAAAGTATTTAGAGAGGAAATTAATTTGTATTGATATCGGAAAATCAAGCCAAAGTAGCTATCCTAAAATGTTGTATTAACAACCGTAGACTTAAAGGAAGAAGATACTTTATTATCCCTTAAAGCGTCATAACTGTACAATAAAGTCTTGCCCTCGTGACATAATCCTGATTTGAACTTTGTCCCACACTGGAGTTGTGAACTGGTCTTCTCTCAGATTTTTGAATAACTGTGGCTGAGCCCCCATTTAAGGGAAAATCTAATACAAATGTTCATCAGTTCTCTGTTTATTGCAACACGACACTTCCTAAATGTTCAGTGTAAATGTCAGTGGGAATATATGTGGAAATGGAGCTCAGTGTGTGGGACGGAAATACAAATATTCGTTTTTTAATAAAGACTTGATTTCCAGAATAAGCCAATCTTATCTGCATTTGTACTTTTGATTATGTCACCATCAGAGACATTTAGATTCCCGCCTGTAGACCTGTCCTGTGGAAACACTGACCCTGTTTGGGGTAAATCCTGAGGAAGCCGGTCTTACCAGTCGATGTGTAATTGACAGGATCAAATGTCTTGTTTCTGCTAAAGAAAGAGCAAACACTGGTTTTCCTTCTACTGTACCTCAACGTGGAAAGTGACATATGTATGACTTTAGACTTGTTTTGCTTTGTCATGTTTTAAAATAAAATGTTGTCTTGCAGGCATTGTAAAGATAAAATAGGTTTTGTTTAATGAAAATGCCACAGTGACTTCTTTTGGTCTGTGTTGCAACAAAATAAATTAATGCAGTGTTGAGTCTCTCTACATCAATACAAAGACATGAGAAATAATCTCAAAACGTAAGCATTTCACTTGGAGGTCCCTACATTTTTGCGTTTTTTCTGATGTGTAGAGATAGGAACAATGAATTACGGTGTTTACTCTTAACATTATGGTATTTACATTTACCTTTCTGCACTGAACCGGTGTGTTTACGTTGAGGCATGAGGCAGCAGGATTAAAGTATTTTAGATACAAACACCACATATTATGATTTATCAACTTTCATCACTGATCCTTTCCGTTACTTATTTTTCTATATTTACATTCGAAGCCTTTTAGGTGGTCTTATCTAGAGGAACAATCACTGTAACAGTAATGTTAGCTTAAACACCATGGATCACCAGAATGATAAGCAACATTAATGCAAAGCTCTGGGAGTTAAAACTGTGTGAGATTGTGATCTTAAGTCAAATTCAAATAGATTCGTGTAGCTTCAGGGAGGATTGTAGTTGAAGCATTTCATATCATATACTGTTATGAAATGAGCCAAACCTTCAGGAAAAGCGTAAAATTGGCTATTTAAAGCAGTAAATGCTATATATTACATAAGTGTGTCATCAGCGTAGTGGATCAAGTTGATCTCAGGACGAGAGGTGCTGCTAAAACCCTCAGCTAAAAGATATTCTTAGTCAAACAATGTTTAGTTTAAGCAACAGAACCACCAGAGCTCTAACGTACTGGAAACTATAAAGGACTGGAAATTAATAAGAGAGTCTTTTATAATGACAACTGCACAGGAGGCAAGTATCCCATGTTTGTTTGATATATATTACGTTTCATTACATTACATGTTACTTGTTAGACGCTTTTATCCAAAGCGACTTACATACTCAATACTGTGGGCAATCCCCACAGGAGCAATTTGGGGTGAAGTGTCTTGCCCAGGGACACAACGACATGCAGTGGGGTTTGAACCTGTGCTCCCCTGATCCCAACACCAACGCACTAGCCCACTGCACCACACGCCTCCTGAATGCAAGCTTAGTGAATAAAGACTTGAACGTTTGTTTGTTTGTAGCCTTTATTTAACCAGGTAAAATCCCATTGAGATCAACAATCTCTTTTTCAAGGGAGACCTGCAGCACATTGTTTACACATAAAAACAACAGAAAACTAAAAGGACATCATACAACATAATTACAGGGGTACAAATTACAACCTATTCACAATGACAGGTATCAAATAACATTTCATCTGTCCGAGCTTTAAAATGATGCAGGGGAACCAAAATGCTCAGTTTCAAAATGTTTTGCAGAGTGTTCCAGCTAGAGGAGCAGCGCACATAAAAACTTTAGTACCTAAAACAGTCCTAGCACTTGGCACATGTAATAAAAACACATCCTGGGATCTCAGGCAATAGCTACTTGCCACTCTCTGTGAGATCAAAGAGCAGATATAAGATGGTAGTTTACCCAACATGGCTTTATAGATGAACAAGTACCAATGACTGAGCCTCCGTACAGTAAGTGAAGGCAGACCTGCCCTGGCATACAGGGTACAGTGATGAGTAAGTGCTTTACAGTTAGTCACAAATCTCAGCGCACTGTGATAGGCGGCATCTAACTTGTCTATTTATGTTCAGATTCATCAAGGAATTAATGTCAGATGAGTTTACAGGTGAGGTGCGTTCTTAAGACTTTACTTTTCTGTACAAGTCCTTTATATATGTTTTACTTGAATATGTCAGCACTGCAACTGTTATAATGTATATGATACCAGAGAAGTGGGTCTCTCTAGCTCTATAGAGGAGCTCTGCATCCCCATCTCTTTTTCTTTTTTTTGTGCGTTAACAAGATCTGAATCTTGAGAAGAAACAGAATTAGCATGTTTTTATCTCTCCCTTTCCTAATGAGTCACAATGTGGTTTGGGTGCTAGATACTTCTCCCAGTGATAAGTGTGAAAATGGTGCAGAGCCATCTGTGGCAAAAACCCATTTGAATTTCATACGGGGAGAGCTCCTCTTGATGCTCGACATGAAAGCCTTCACGTCTCCTCTCAGCCACGACCGCTGCCCTCATGAAACAGCTTCATTGAGCTGCGAGCTACAAAGGGACTCAACGACGCCTAGCAATCAGGAAATGCATCAGATACAAGCACCAAGCTGCCTCGTAAATAAAGGACAGTGTAGAGTGTAGAGATAATACATACATATATAACATCTGACTGTCTTCTCTGAAAGATATCCTGGGTGGTTTTGAAGGAGATCTGTATTTTCTTCCCCATAGGAGAGATGATAAAACAGATATATCTATGAGGAGTTCCTCGTTTGTTGTAAAAACGGAAACCCACACAGAGATTAGCTTTCGAGGAATGAAATACACACCATAAAGATTTCAGTGCTGATGGCTCAGGACAGCTGACGGCAGCTAGGACTGAATTACTGAACGTGTCGCTATCTTCAAGAGCCAGACACATTAAACTGCTGTTGAGTCGGACCTGACACAAGAATAACTCCGGAGACAATTACTACATTGACAAAAACAGTTGCCGTAACAGTACCGATTGAGGACAAGTTCATTTTTATTTTATTATTAAAAAGGCCACCTTGTAAAATAAGAAATGTGGTTTTTATAGTTCAGTCAGAGGTTCTTTGATTGCAAAGAGAAACTCTGAATCAAATCAGTTTGGAAATTGAACAGAAAATGAAGATAACTTTTGGTAATTTCTCACACAAAAATGCCAATGATTTCACTGTTTTCCTTTTCTCACATTTGAGGATTCACTACCTTTGAGAGACACAAAAGAGAGACACAAAACATTGAGAGACATTGGGCTTATAGAAACTGTGGACTTTTTGTCACATTTGGCTTAATAGTTCTCTTTTTTATAAAAGATTTGTAATCACTAAGCCCAATTATACTTTTTGTTTTGTTCAGTTTAACTTCAAACAAACAAACATTATTCTTCAGCTCTTTTATTGACTCAACAATTAAACATGAAGAATAGAGGTCCGACACACAGATTGAGTTCTTCGAGGGTTTGTTGTTCAAATGTGCCTGGCTGGTTTGACGCTAAAATGACTCTGGTGTTGTTTTGTAACAGAGACGGAGTCCTCTGTGTTTGGGCCAGGCGTGAGCGGTGAGGAGCTGCGATGGACTCGCCGGCTGATGCAGGAGAAGTCAGACAACCAGAGCGAGGACCAGCGGGCAGGTGAGTTAGTCACTGTTTTATACCTGGATGGATGACCTCTGCTTCTTGAGGTCAGACCAGCAAACTCTCCCACAGTCCAACACTTCATTGTTCAGTGTCGGCCATATCGATAAAACATTCTATAAAAGCCTGTACAATATATCACAATGTGTTGCACGAATGAGTCCTAAAACCCAGAAAGACTTAGCATTTTGCCACATCCAGATCTCGAGTCTCAAGATCAATTATCTTTGACCAGGTTTGTGGTTAGAAGCCTGAAATAAGGTCTGTGGTTAACACAAGCTTACTGCATTTCCACGTTCTGTACTACGACATCAAATAAGTCAGTAAATACCCCACCCCTAAATGTCCGAAGCTTCAAAATGGCTTCAAAATGGCGGTGGCTAACAAGTGACTGTATAAACGTCATTACGTCGAACATTAGCCGCCTTTAGCTTAGCGGCAGTGATGTGCATTTGTCTGACTTTGATGTTATTTATTTTATTTCTGCTGATTCTATTTACGCTTAAAAAAAGTGATATGTGGGGATTATCCTGCTGAACAAAACGTATCAGGTATCATCAATGTGTGTTAGCCACAAAGCTTATTTTTTAGCAATTTACAGAAAAGCAATGAGAAAATCCCATTGCTTTTTTGTCAAGGGAGCCCTTGCCATGCTAACTTCCGGAGTGGCCTTTAAACAAATCGTCATCACTGCTCCACTCAACATTCAGATATAGACATATTAATTCCTGCTTTTGTGCTGAACAGTTTTTAATTTAGTCTTTTTGTTGGATGCTTTGTGGTGCTGTTGAAGTGTGTATCATATCAAACAGAATATCTTAATATTGGGTAGTCAGTAGGGGCTTGGACTGTGAGCCGTAGGGTCGCCGGTTCAAGTCCCCGACCAGACCTAAATATGGAGTGTGCACTGCTACTTGGAGAGGTCCCAGTTCACCTCCTGCCCTGCCGTGGTGCCCTTGAGCAAGGCACCGGACACCCCCTCACCCCCCCCACTCCCATTGCTCCCCGGGCGCTGTACAATAGCTGCCCACTTCTCCTAGTACTAGACTCCTGGTACTAGGATGGGTTAAATGCAGAGAACACATTTCACTGTGTGCTGTGTGCTCTGCATGTGTGACCATTAAAGAGGGTTTCATCCCTCCCTATTCTATTCTATATTCCCCATGCCTATTTTTGTGTTTTGGGAAGTATTTGGAATTGCATACACACACAAGACCATAGAGGCTGCATAGGGTGCATTGCATTGATGAACAGTAGGAGCTAGTTTGGATGCTTTGTGTGTTGAAAGTGTAGGAGGTCAGGAGGGGTTTGGCGAAGTTTACATGCATGTGTGGTGTGTGGGGGTATACAAAGGAAAGTGGAGTGTCCTGGAGAGTTCTGCCTCTCCCCTGCAGGTGAACTGAAAGGTCATGCTGCATTGTGTCTATTGTCAGGAGTGTATGTGGTCAGTGTCAAGCTTGTGCACTGACGGAGAGAGAGAAGGCTGCCAGAGTGAAAGTCAGATTTGATTTTCTACGGTAGCCTGTCTTCAGCAGACGCCAAGTTTCCTTCAAGTTGTTTCTGGAGTCTGGATGCACCCTGAATAGTTTTGACAGATTCAAACGTCTCCTTATTATCACGAGACATGCAGCCGATCGACAGCCATAATCAGAGCTCTGTTTCTCTGGTTCCCAGGCTGATTAGCTGGCTGACATGAGCCGCATTCATCACTGCTGACAGTTTTATTATAAAAAATTCAGATCGGAGAGGAAATCTCTTTGGGGAGAATAATACAGAGTAGATAAAATAACACGGCTGCACAATGAAAAATCTTTTACCTCACTGACACAATACAATTCTCTATCTCCTCATAATTTGCATTTGCTCTAAGGCACTGCTATTATTAGGCAGGCAGTCACAATGTTGCATTGTATGCGAAGGGCATGGTTATTGTATTCCCTAAGAGATTTATGCAAATCGAGTTATGCTAATAATATACCATGCAAATGAGCTGTTCCGACAACACTCCTCTCAGTACCACCCTATAATGTACTGTGCCTGGTGAGAATGTGAAACCTAAAAAAAAAAGCCTGCGCGCAATGAATAATTTTAAGCTTTTAAAAATAGATTTGAGGGAAAGGCGCTTTCGTGACATCTCCTCCTTGCAACAATGTCAGACAGGCATCTCAGAATCTTAAGAGGATTCCCAGAACTTTTCCAGTATATTTAGTTTTTGACAGCAGATGGAGAAGATCATGTTTACATAATGTGCATCTGGCTTCTTCTCTGTATGAAATGTAGTGCATTGTAGGTGTAATTTATCTCCAAAATCTCCAATCTCTAAAGCCATTTTTAATCTTAAATAGGCATATAGCAAACAGTTTAAGCTCCTGATAATCTCATCTGATAAAATAATCACACAATTCAGTGACACATCGTTGGGTTTGTATTTGAAGAGCTTACATCTGAGAGGTGCGCGGACACGGACTCATCAGGGACTGGTTTGTAGTAGATTCACACATTACAGCCTCCTCACAGTCACCGCACCTCCTCCTATGTGACATTGCATTAGAGGTGTTTTTTTTCTCTACCCTTGAGAGAGAAAATGATTGCTCTCTCTAGCAGAGCTATATACAGCAATTTGTGTTTTTGCTCCCCGATATAACACTTAACCTTTATAGAGATCCTGGCTGCAAACGGCTCTTCCTCATTATCTCTTACAAAGAAACCACCGTGCTGCGGGTGGATACTTCCCCGTACTAATACACGGGAGAGGAGCAGGCGAACAAAGGGCTGGACAGGTAGTGTCTCGCAGCAGTGAGCAAGGCACCAGGCTCAGGTTGCCGCCCTCTTCCTCAGCAGACAGTGATTACATAATCTGTGGTGTGATTAAAAAGCCTGCCCTGGACCTCGGGGGGGATATTATCTGGGGGATTGCACCGTAACGTCCAGCCCCGAGCTCTCTTTCTCTCTCTTCATCCCCTCAGTGCTTAACAAGATGGAGACGGTGCAACCCGCCTTCATCTGACAAGCCTCGGAGAGACCGTAGTTGCTAGGCGACTGAATGCTACATTTTGAAACCCAGACAATTCTGGCTTTCAAGCATTAAAAAGGTCCAAGGAGCTAAAATTAGACCCTGAGTAGAGGGGGGTGGGGGTGCATCCAAATGATGTAAATGAAGAAAGTGGCTCATACTGTGTGTGTGTGTGTCGCCGAGGCTTGTTTTGTTGTTTATTTTGGCAGCGACCGTCGGCTCAGAATAGGTTTTCTTTTTCCACAGCCATGTTTCAGGGGGTTTTGGGAAAGTGTTGCGAAAGGGAATCTGGCAGATAATCTTACAGAAATTGTCTTCCAATGGTTATTCAGGGCAGTCAGATTATGGATGTAATACAAAGCAATCAGTAGTTAATGCAACCAATATTTGTAGGGTTTCAGAATACTGATTGAACTTTTTCACTTTCTGTCCACAAATAGGCATCTTTATTTAAAGCCTATCATAAACCTCCTCATAAAATGATTGATTGTCATTAAAAAGAGGATTAAAAAACCCTTTCCTTTGTCTTTACATTGTATTTCGTCACCCACAACGCTGAAGATGATACACGGTGTTGTCTGAGCCCTCGTGTCACACCAGTGTAACAAGAGTGTATGTATTGACAGGCGAGGCGGTCGGTGCGGTTGGAAGCCTTGCTTTCGTTTCATCATCGTCTTATTGAAACTGCCTCAAAGGAAAGCATATCAAAGAACAACTGCATAATTGAATTTACATTACACACCTGGATGAAATATTTATTTTTTGATTCCTCATGAAAAATGCAAGCTCATTGCAGAGCTCTCTGTGTATATATATATATATGTGTGTGTGTGTGTGTGTGAGAGGGTGAGTGCTCGATACTCCAAAGCCAGTTGGGCTGATACATGGAATGTCGATGGCGTAGCTTGACTCCAGGACGCCCGCAGCCTCTCAGATCGATAGCATTACTCTGCACCGCCCACTGCCCCTTCATTCAGCTCCACTGAAGCCCCCCCGCAGCACGTTGACTCACAGAGAGCTCAGCGCCTCACATCAGCTCTCACTCAGTGGAGATCTCCCTCCTTGCCTTCTGAAGAATATGCTCGGCATTGACCTTATAAGGCTTTCACTTAAAGATCTAATCTGCTGCACTGGCCTTATTGATCTGGACTCAGATAAAATACAGAAGGAAGATAGGACCTGTCGTATGTAACACACCTTTGAACCTCTTTTGATTTACCTTATATCAACACTGCATTTGCTTCATATAATCAAGACAGAAATGATTATATGTCACTATTATGTGAACAAAATGACCCCAACATAAAGCAGTGTCTGGTTAATGCTTAGCAGCTTTTTGAAATAGGCAACACTGGTTTATGATTGCTATAAATCTTGTAGTGAATTCAACTAAAAGCTAATAAACGTTTCTCTAGCAGACACTCAGTGTGTTAGAGGAAGATGCATTAGGGGTACATTTATGCGTTGCTTCTGAACAGTGTGATTTGAATGTGTGCCTCCTGGCTTTTCCAATGCCGTGGAGTTAATATATTAAATCATTGTTCACTTTCAGTGTCCTTATTTTCTGGTCTAATTTACCTCTGTCCTTTTGTTGCTCTGCAGTCTGCATACAATTACTGTATCTGCTTTGGACAAAATAAGTGGTGTCTTGGATTTAAAAAAATGACTAGTGAATTTGTGATGTGCAAAAGAAAACCTTCTTTATCCAGCTGTACCCCAGACTGTTCATTATTTTTCATTCATTCATGACTAAAATGTGAAAAAGGAAGTGGAGGTAACGGCAATCCACTTTGCATAAAACACATTATTACCAAAAATAATAATGTTGAATATTTATATATATTTATTATATATTATATAATATGTTTTGGTAACAGGATTATAATAATGTCTAAAAGGAGTCCTAGTATTTTTCCAGATCTCCATCTTTACAGAGTGGTTCAATCATCCGGTGTTCTGCACATTTTTGGAAAAGGTTTTGGATGGTGGAGTCGAATTGTTCTCGATTGTTAATCATTGCATAGTTGAACCTTTAACAGACACAGACTCATTTTGAAAAGATGTTGAAAAAAATCTGTATTTCCCAAAAAGATATTTTGGTGTCTTTGGAGAGGTCTGCTCCAGTCAGCACGTCTAACCCAATACTGTCACTTCACATGCAACCTCAAAGCTGAGCAGATGAAAGCGTCGCCTCTGGTGGCGTTTGAAGAAATCATCACACAACCTCAATACCTTCTGAAAATAAGACATCTGATTTGATCAAAATGAATGAAGTTTAAACTTATCTGTGCAAGGTGATTCATATCATAGATAACCAGCTCATTTAGGCTTCACATGTCACATAGCACCACTATGTGTACAATACATAGAAGAAGGTTAAGGAGGTGCTACTTGTGAAGGATCTTTTAAAGAGCACTCTAGCTTGGAGTGAAAGCCATTGATGTGAGCTGCTGTGAAGACAGACAGAACTGGATCAGAGGTGACAGCGTTGTGGGAACATTTCATGATTCTGACGGTAGAAAGACACCGAGCACAGAGAGAGGTGACGAGTACAGAGACCCCTTCTATTGTCAGAGTACGAGCACATCAACAGTCGACCTCTGCTTACAAAACGAGTGACTTCATCAAGCTGAAGGCACATCTGGCTTAAATCCCTAATGTGGAAAGTTGCACGTGATCATCTTGAACCTGTTTGTGTTTCAGTGTGTGGTGTTGTGTTGTGAAATCGGGGCAAAGCACATTCCTGTCCAGTAGCCTCTAGTAAACCAGTGCGCTGAGAGACGCTGTGTATCTCCCTGCCGTTCCCTCCCCTGCCTCGCTCTCTCAGACCTCTCCTGAGGGTTTGTAAGGAAAAATAAATATTTTTAGACGGAGCTGCTGTCACTTAGCTTTTTTTTTGTCATTCTTCATAAACCCCAAACCATGGGAAACACATATTCACCTCCCCCTTTCTCACTGTTCAGGCAATTGCCTTGCCTCTGGTTTCCTACTGCCACCCATCCAAAAAAAAAAAGGGAAAAAAAAAGCTGCCCCCAGGGAGAGTGTCGCCATAGCAACTGCCTTCACCAGAGCAACTCCGCAAAGCATCTATCTGAGGTACATGTTGCAGCCCTCGGTTTCCAGCGACAGAATAACCTGAGAGTTTATGTTTCGGGGCAGAAAGGAGACTGGATATCTTCCAGCGCCGGGACGCAGAGAAGAAGGTGAAAAAAAAATAAAGCCCCAGATGTCCAGCCGCTGATCAGCTTCAGAGGAGAAGACTCAAACTGTGCAGCTCGCATTCAGGCTTCCCTGTTTCGTGCGATAAGATGACAGAAAGTTTACATGCTAAGCCTCGATGATTTAGCGGATAGAATATGACAGCTGGCACAAGGAAAATAGGATTGTTCCTCTTAAGAGAGAGGGGAACAGAGAGCACTGGGCCTCAGTTTATGGCACAATAAGCCGACAGTGCTCGCTCTGGCACAGACACAAATCTGTAAACATTGCTGCACAAACATTTATATTTTCTAACTGAACATAGCCAAATGACTGTCCCCTCTCTGGAGCATATGGCCTCCGCCTCTCACACTGCCATGTCAAAGATCAAATCTCATGTCCTCGATCACCAGGGACCCTCTCCTAATCCACGCAGTCTGTTGTTCAGTTTCCATGCAGCCGCGGTGCAGTGTGCATCGTGACGGCTGCTCTCTGCTTATTGTGTGCCTGTCGACCTACTGTTGTCTCACAGCAGAAGAGCTATTTATAGCTCCATGCTCCCCAGTAGTTTAAATTCATCCAGCTCGGCTCTGAGTTGAGAATGAGATCTGCACTACACTCTCCAGGCTCTCCTTTGTAACGTTCAGGGAGCAGAGGGGAGCTAGGCTGTCATTAGCCCTTTTTTCTTCTTAACACTCGGAGGACAGGAAGCAGCTGCCAGTTTCACTTCCTGTCTCACACTTCACTTCAAGACAAACATGATGTTCTTGTGGGTTTTACCATGCAGGAGATACATTTTATTTTATATGATGCCACACATTTTGAAAAAAGAAAAACTCTTCTTTAAAATATTTTTATTTATTTTAAAAATAACGGCTTGTATTTATAGTTAGCAATACTTTAAGAAATAATCTTTGAATGTCAACAGTACAGGAACTCAGGCAAATGATTTAATCTGGTAATTTCAAAAATGTGCAAGACGATAAAAATGTCATTTATTCTCAAAGTGTCGTTTACGCCTCAAATATGAACAAATGCCTTACAGGACAGAATATTTAAAATGCACACATTTGTTATTGATCCCATTTTTCCAATTCACTGAAGTCTTGCTCATCTTCAGCATTTGGTTGTGTTAATCTTCTGCACATTTCAGAGTGGCCTTTTATTGGGAGCAGCCCAAAGCATGACAGTGTTATAATACACTGATCGCCATTTTGATAAGAAACACCTGTCATGTGGATTCATCATCTTGGCATCATTTACCAACATTTTAGAAAAACAAGCCTTAGGTTTGCATAGTCTTAAGATCTTTTATTTGACGTTAGCCTTGTGCTTATACTTCTCTTCAGTATATGTTATATCACTTTCTTACAGACTATTTCTACCTATTGTATTAGTTTTTTCAGTGAATTGATGACAAAGACAATCAGGCTTTTTTATTACGTTTGCAGATTGTAGCATAAGGCTCTTCTTATGTGTAACTGAGAACCCTGAGAAAATTAACATCATTATGTCTATTCCCCTTCAGCCATCCATGAGTTTCCAGAGGACATTTTTACCAAGGAGCAGAGGAAGAAGGGGGCCGTTTGTCTGCATGCTCTCTGTGTGAGTATTATGCAAGCTATCCCCTGAAATCAACAACATATTTTACAAAACAAGACCTACATAACTTAGTGAGAGTGTGACCCCGTTCTTTCTTATTGTGTCCAGGCCATCTACATGTTCTACGCTCTGGCCCTCGTCTGCGATGACTACTTTGTCCCGTCTCTTGAGAAAATATCTGAGGTGAGCTAACGACTATTGTTACAGATACTATTTTATTAGTTTATTGGTTTATTTTTCATTTTATTCTGAGCTTTTATTATTTTTGTTTTCATGTTTCAGAACCTGCAGCTTAGTGAAGATGTGGCCGGAGCAACATTCATGGCTGCAGGAAGCTCTGCTCCAGAGCTGTTCACGTCTCTCATTGGTCAGTAGCTGATCCAATCACGGACCAAGTAACAGTGGCACATTTAAAGCATGCTAAAATGTGTTCTCGCTTATTTTTGAACATTTCAACTGAGAAATGCTGGAATTTAAAATAGTCTTTCAGCCTCTGCAGTGCAAACACCCTCCATAGGATGTCAGCATAGTCTAATTGAAAACCTCCGGAGGGATTTTCTATTTTGTTAGGTATTTTCTTTGAGATTAGTGACAAGTGAACTCCAAATAGAAAGCTAGATGACCCGTTTGAGATGACAGACTGCAGGGTTTTTATCTCATCTTGAACAAAACAAAGCCAGATATAAAATGCACACATGTGACTTCCTCTTCTCCTCCCTCCAGGTGTTTTCATCACCAAAGGAGACGTTGGAGTCGGGACGATTGTTGGCTCTGCCGTCTTCAACATCCTGGTCATCATTGGACTGTGTGGGATCTTTGCGGGCCATGTGGGGAAAACTTTGTGTTAAACATTTGTCGCCCAGCTGCTCCTGAGTGAATGAACACTGACTTTTCTTTACCTTTCTCCACAGACAGTGGTTTTAACGTGGTGGTCTCTTTTTAGAGATTCCACATACTACATCCTCTCTGTTCTGGCTCTCATCATGGTGAGATGGAACATTTTGTCAAATAATCAATTATTGTGTTTCAACCTCCACGTTGTCTTTTAAAGAATCTGTTTTTCTGTTCTCTAGGTAATCTATGATGCCACAGTTGTCTGGTGAGTCGACTTTACTTAAGTTCTGTTTGTTCTTTCTGGGTCAGTAGGTATCTGTATTCATACCGACAAAGATCTAAAATGGCCTCTCTGATTGGTGTCAAGTACTCCCCCCTGAAAGGACAATTACAATCATGGAGATGGGGCGTCAACATGTCTCACAATCAGTGATAGTTGAACATGTCAAATAGATTTGGTTCGAATGACAAAACATCTGAATATTGATTTCCCGTCAGCTCAATTCAGAGTTAGGCGAGGTGACGAGGAACACGCTCAATTTAAAATCTGTGATTTCTTATTAATTGCTATTTGTTTAATTTGTGTGGAGGAGCTGTCATCCCCATAGGTCATCACACACATGATTAATGATTCGGTTTGCTGTGAGATTCTTTTTTTAGGTCTTCTTAGCTTTAGCTGCCTCTCCTGAATGTTTTCTGTTTTGTCAACCTATGATTGTAAAAATAAATAAGAAAGATGGGTCTCCATTGTTGTATGTGTCAGCAGTTTAAATGAAAGGGAAGATTTATACGTGGACTTAATGTGGGTTGTTGCAGTGGATTCATCAGTGATATATGGCAGGCTGTTTATTGAGTCCTTGTGTGCCAAGCCTCAGCTGTCTTAGTATATCTCACCTCACCAAAGGGTCTTCTAAATACACTCGCTCAGATTTGTGTCCTAGCTTTCTTTGCCAAATCCCTGCATGCTCCGTCTATCTGAGACATAAGTCTGCGTAAGAGCAATGGTGGCTTAGTGGAACTGTTGTTTGTTTGGGAGGTTAATGAAGTGTTTTCTCGAGTAACGTTGTGTTCATTCACCGGTATCTTTTACCGTGTCCTAAGGGCTGTGTTTATATTTTATAGTTATACATATGACTAAGCGATCGTAAAGACAATTCATAAACAGAGACAAAGACAGCTAACTTCATGACGAAAAGACTGTTTCAAATTCAACAACTCAACTAATCTGCTCTAAGTCTAATTGGCCTGGAAAAATATGTCAGTTTTTTCTTAACTAAGCCCTTTTTATTTCAAACCAGTGAGAAAAGAAGGGATAAAAACAGAAATAGAGAAATCTGTGGTGGGAAATAACCAAACCTGGTCTTGTCTCCATGTCTTGAAGACACAAAAAACCCTTTACACACTTGAAAATCTAGTTAATTGAGTGGAGGGATACATTTATTTACACAATACGTTAAGTGCAGTATGTATCTATGATTCCAACTATCATACAATATGTTATGCTCTATAATTGAGATCATAAAATATTGAATTTATATTACCATTTGTGTTATATGTGATGTATAATATTGAATGGAGGTTTACGTCAGACTCACACATGTTTTCCTCGCTGTGCAGGTGGGAGTCCTTGCTTCTCATGACCATGTATGGGATCTACATTATAATCATGAAGTGAGTTTACCGAAACACTAAAGAGTCATCATGCCTTTACTACTGTCTAAACTCTGAGGACACTCTGTACTCATGGTATAAATGGATGTGAGCAAATGCTATCTGTTTGGTTGCAGGTTCAACTCCCAGATTCTGGCGTTTGTGACGCTGCAGCTGAGCACCTCCGGGCCGTGCTGCTTGGGATCAGCAGACATCCAAAGAGAAGACAAGATGGCAGAGGACGCCACTGCTTGCAACACGTCCATGGTGCTCCTCAACAAAGGTCAGGAAATGGGAAAAAAGTGAAATTGTATATGTTAGGAAAAATATCACTCGTCACCGGCTTGGTCTTCAATATCAGGATACATGTATTTATTATCCTTGCAAGAATGGAAGTAGTCATCACACACAGAGCTGCATGGGACAATTAGTTCCCCGAATAGTGTCCTTCACATGCTGATATATAAGAGAGGGTGTTATTCAGTCACAAGATGCAGAATACCGGTTCAAAGCAGTATTCATATATATGACAGTCATATGTCTATCTCCATAGAGGCTGAATCATCATGTTAATCACATAGCTATCATATGCCTAAAACAGTCCTGATGCTCTTCTAGGTAATCATACATCCTGTTACGTACACAGCTACGTAGGGCCTTTGTTATCATGTGCTACTCTGATATTGGAAGAGCACATTCAGTATTTTCCCAGCAGTATAATTGTATAAAACGTTGCTTCCATTTGTCATGTGTTTTACTTACAACGTTTTGTTTTACAGGCCAAGTCCACAACCAAGAGGCCGCTCCAGTCATCATGGTGGATGAGCTCCTCATCCTCAACCCTCACAAACTGTCCTTCTCCGACGCCGGGCTGCGCGTCATGATCAGCCCTCACTTCTCCCCCCGCACCAGGCTCTCCATGGCAGGACGCGTGCTCATCAGTGAGGTACTTCCAGGCACATTTAAAGGTCTCCTATTATACTGTTTTTCACCAATATATTATAGGTCTCAGTGTCAAGCCCTTGGGTATTTTTGCAGTTTCCCCGCTTGAAAGGGATGGTACAGTCCATATAGGAGGTTTTCACTGGGTTTCACTCATACAATGACCACAACTTTGTTTTCTTTTGAGTTCTTCTTTACTTTAGTTTTTGTTGTTTGCAGTACAGCGTAAGGTTGTAAGGTGAAAAACCTTAAATGAAAAATAAAAATAATTACTGTAAATACAATGCACATGAAATAATAAATGCAAAAATACATGCTTTACATATATTTTTTAACACTTGTGAATATTGTTTTTCCTTTTAGTGTATTTTTACGAATTATGTTTTTAAACAGTTTTTAACTTATGCAGTCTCATTAAAAATGCAAATATAATAGACTGAATTTTTAGCAGCATTCAAACCGTTTCTATCAAACCACATCTCTCAATAAACAAATCACATTAGTTCCACACAGTTCGTTTCTCACCGGCCGCCTCTCCAGCTTTTTATGGCTGCACCAGTGCTGCTTCTTTGTAGTTTTCTTCTGCTGGTTTGTTGTTGCTGCTGCTGGACGCACGCTTTTTAGTTTGTCCCTCTCCAGCTTTGAATTACCGCCCTCCTTTCAGGTGTGGTGCTTTTAAAGCTGCAGCGACGCTGATTAGCAATTAGGGACTGATTTCAGACAGCTGCCACTCTGTCAATCAGCCCGACTTTTTAACCCTTTGCTCTCCTGTGGATTCTCCAAGTTGACTTCACACTCAGATATATACAAAACATGTCTCTGAAGTGTTTGGCTCCAAACACCAAACAGATCATTGCAGCATCCCATAATCCCCTCTGTTTCAGCCCTGTTTCAAAAGTGCTGATTCTCTGTCTGTTACTTTAGATGAAAATAAGGAGCCACTCCCCACGCCCCTCTGAGAGATATTTGGTTAAAAAGAACTCTAGAAGGAGATTCAGGTGATAAGGGGGGGGGGGGGTTACCTTGGTTGGTGATTGGCTAATAGTTACACAAGCCAAAAAAATCGTTATGACATCATAAAGTGGCCAAAATCTGATCAGCTCATTTTCAGACAGGTTTTTATATAAATAGATCAGGACAAAAAGAGAGAGAATCTTTTTTCCTGAAACTTTCAGAGTCTCTTTACACAGAGGGGACACATGTTGATGTAGAAGAGACATGAAAAAGTGGATTTTGCATAATAGGTGACCTTTAAGGCACATTATATCTTCTCAGAGTTTAACGACATAATAACCTCCCACTCTCCTCTCACAGAGACAGAGGCTGATCCAGAGCTCGAAAGACGGCGAGGCCGGCCCGGTGTCGCGGGGGGGGTCGACCAGCAACAGCCTGAAGAGATCGGGCTCCTGCGGCGTGGAGAACGGAGGCAAGACTCCCGCAATAGGAGACGCAGAGTCAGGAGAAAAGCCGGGGGTTGAGGTGTGCCAGACAGAGGAGGAGGACGAAGAAGATGGGATTTTTAGTCCTGTGCGCATACCAGGTGAGGAGGATCTGTGAAAAGTAAGACTTAAGAGGATGATTTATTTTTAATGTTGTAGCTAATCCCTGCTTTAACATTTTATCACCGCAATAAACTGTATTTAATTTTGTCTTAATGTACATTATTTAATTTCATATTCTGTTCTTGTACATATCATATTCTATTGACATGTATATAGACTTTTTGCACACTATTTTGTATTTTTGTATTTTATTATATATGTTGTAGGAGCTCAGGTCAGAAGAATTTCATTGCCATTTCTACACTGTAGCTTTGTGCATATGACAATTAAACCTTTGAATTAGAATTTTAAAACCATGCGCCCTCTTGACCCCGTCCTGCTCCTCTCAGGTACTTGGTGTGGGCGGGTGAAGTGGCTGATCAAATGGCCTCTGGGTCTCCTGCTGTACTGCACCGTGCCGAACTGCATCCGGCCCCGCTGGCACCGCTGGTTCATGGTCACGTTTCTGGCCTCCACCCTGTGGATCGCCATCTTCTCCTACCTCATGGTGTGGATGGTAAGGAGGCAGTGAAGAAGGACGCAAGCTTGATTCTTAAGAAAAACTGTTAAAGCCACTTCATATTGGTCTATTGCAACACAACAGTTATAGTCTACAGCAGCCTCATAGCGCCATCTAAAGGCCCACTGCGGTACTATCACATGATAAATACGATTTATTTTTTAAATGTACAAAGCATTTTATGATTTTGAGGTGGGCCTCGTCAAAATTGTTACAATCAGTGGGCCTGAAGTAACAAAAGGCTTAAAACACCTTATCTCAAGAATGCCTTGTACTCTTAACAACATCTAGCAATATATAGATGTATTTTTTATTACAAATCAGGGGTCAGCTAAAAGGTGTACAGGACAGAGGGTGATTGTAATTCAAGTTAGCACCTTTTTAAAATGCTTAATATGTATAGTTAATAATAATGCATTTTTATTTATAGAGCGCTTTTCTTGAAACTCAAAGACACTTTAAAGCACATGTGTCAAACTCAAGGCCCGGGGGCCAAATCAGGCCCTTGGTGGATTTAATTTCAGCCCGCAGAATAATTTCTAATTACCATTAGATCTGGCCCGCCGGTATATTGCACGCACACCTTCACTCAATCCTGAGGGTCTCCTCAGCTCAGAGCCTGACCCCAAACATTGATGAACTTGCACCCAAGATGAGATGCCAAGTATCTGGCTTGAACTAGCATCACAGAGCAGCACACTGAGTTTACATGGATGTTTCCTTCTGCACTTTTTTTCTTGTGACAACAGGGCATGTTTGGTTTTATCTTTGAGGGGAATTGTTTTTTTGAAGCTGTTGTTGGCCTGTGGAAAAATGTAATCATAAGAAATGACTCTGCAGATAGAGCCATGAGAAATGAATGCAACTGATTATTTAATGTTTAATGTTGTTTTTATAGGCAATCATTTAAGCTTTGTTAGTTCCAGGTTTAATATGTGCAATAAGTTCATTTCAATAAGTTTTGCAATAAACATTGAACCAGTCCGGCCCTCGACTAGTACCCATTTTTTTATTTTGAGTTTTTACACCCCTGCTTTAGAGAGTAAAAATTCATAAAAACAACACAGATAAAATATATAAAACACAACCTTAATAACAGATTCAAAGCAGTAGTGGACCCTGATGCATCCTAATGTTTCCATCAGGTCACCATCATCAGCTACACACTAGACATCCCAGACTACATCATGGGCATCACCTTCCTGGCCGCGGGGACCAGCGTGCCGGACTGCATGGCCAGTCTGATTGTAGCTCGACAAGGTAAACACCTATCTTTGCCTATTTGCCCAGAGAGGCCAACTCAGTGGACATTTTTAAACGACAGCTAAAGACACAGCAACCCCGCACTTTAAATGTTCTTTTAGATTTGATTATTTACCTACCTTTATATTGTTTTATTTATTTTATAGGTCTTAATCGTTTTATTTGTATTTCTGTTGTACCTATATGTACACTTTGTTTTATGGGGCTTTTTATTGTTGCATCGACTCAGTTGTCTTGTGTCTTATCTGTCGGAGAGAAACCATTATTTATTTTAATTTTATTTGAATGATCATACCTTTGACCTCCTTGTGTCTATTAACCTTGTACCTTTTAAAATTCTTAACAAATAATCTAAGGGGAATTTCTTCTTGTTTGTTTTTATCTTGTGATGTGTCATTTTGTAAAGCACTCTGAGCTGCATGTGTCGTATGAAAAGTGCTATATAAATACAGCTTTATTATTATTATCATTATTATTTTCTGTCTGTGGTGTACGTGCGTCACATCTGCATTTCTCACATCTCTTTCCAGGCATGGGGGACATGGCGGTGTCTAACTCCATAGGCAGCAATATCTTTGACATCCTGCTGGGTTTGGGTTTCCCCTGGGCTCTGCGTACCCTCGTGGTGGAGCACGGATCATCAGTATGCATATTCTATATCTCCCATACATCTCTTTTTCTTCTTATTTGTGACCTACTGAAGTCTGCATGTGTATGAGAGGGCGATAGAAACTGAGATTCTGGGTTATACTAACTCATATGTGGTCATGCAAATGTAATACCTCCTTTTCTCTCCCTATAGGTGTACATCAATAATAAAGGATTGGTGTATTCTGTCGTGCTGCTGCTGGCATCTGTGTTTCTGACGGTAAGGAAATCAGTTTTAATATCTTGTGTCAGCATGCAAGATACATCAGTATGATTGGATCCCTGAGGAGAACCTGTTTTATGAAAATTGAAAATATGTTTAACTGCATTTATCTAATGAGAATTTACCTGCATGTCAATATCTCCTATTCAGTGTGAAAAGGCAAAAACTGTTTCTAAAATAATTGTGTAGATTTGTAATTGACATCATGTTCAAACCATGCAGTTTTATATGCACTACTGTTTATGTATTACTGTTAACAGCATGTTGAACAACCAAGTGGTCCATTGAGTAAATGCAGATTCAGGGGATACTTATCGAATTGATACGCTTATGTTAAAGGGGCACGTTATGCTGATTTCCAGGTTCAACATTTATGTAGTGTCTCTACTGGGACATGTCTCCAAGCTTTAATGTTCAGAAATCTCTTTATTTTTCTCATACTGCCTGTGCTGCAGCACCTCTTTTCACCCTCTGTCTGAAACCAGAGCCCAGTCTACTCTGATTGGTTAGCTGGACAGCTCTGTTGTGATTGGTCAACCGCTAAGAGATGTCACGCCTCTTAGCCTATCACGTACAATGTGTTGGAGCGTTAGCCAATAGAAGCGCTAGTGTTACAAAGTGATGTCACTATGCCGGGGAAGTAAAAGGAGTCCAATGGAGGCGTTTCAGGCAGAGGGGGGAGTGTGTGGGAGAGACAACTTCCTCTATTGGGAACTTTGGGATTTTAGCATTTGCAGACCATTTACATGGACACAAATCTATATAACACACTACAGGAAAGGGAAAACTCCAAAAAGCATAATAGGGCCTCTTCAATAAAATGAATAGCACTCGATTTATAGTTACTGTATTTTTTAACCCTCATTAAAAAGACATCAGCCTTAAAAAATCCAGTATAGAGAGGCGAAGCCCCTCCCCTTCCGGGGGACCTCCATGGGACCTTATTTAGGAAAAAGTATGTATTGAAGTCAATGGGGAGAGAAAAGTTATCTTTCGATTCCGTTTGAATTGTGCCACGAATTACACATATGATGTTTGTCAATTTAAAAGATAATTTTGCAAGTAAAAAAAAAAAAATGTGTCGTAAAACTGTGAAGTAACACTTTTTTTTGTGTGAAACCGCTCAATGAACTACATCTCCCGTCTCGCACCACACACCTAGACGGCCGTCACGTTGGCACATTTCACTTCTTTCTTTCAGAATGAGGCGGAAAGTATTAAAAGAGGTGAAAATCACTCCAAGTCTGGGCATGTTGAGAGCTGTACATACAAGGGGAGTTAGTCGGTTCCGTAAGAGCCAGCATGCGGGACCGGGATTCTGGGATTTGTAGTCTTTCTAGTTGCGTATTTTTCATAGTCTTATATTTCAACAGTTTTACGACAAACTGTGACTTTTTTGACATGGAAATGATTTTTTAAGATTGACAAACATCATATGTGTAATTCGTGGCACAATTCAAACGGGATCGAAAGATAATCTTTCTCTCCATTGACTTCAATACATAATTTTTCCGAAATAAGGTCCCATGGGTCGGAAGTAGATGGGCGGGACTTCGCCTCTCTATCCTTCTGGCTCTATTACATTTCCACATCAGAATAAGTGGTGACAATCTCTCTACCTATCCACCATTTATAAATACTATAGTAGAACGATAATGTTGTCAGAAATGTTTTCTCAGGTGAATCTTTTTGGCTCCTCCTCACCTCTGCCTCTGTTTCAGGTGATGAGCGTCCACCTGAACAACTGGAGGCTGGACCGCCGGCTGGGCCTGGGTCTGCTGTTCCTCTACTCCATCTTCCTGCTCTGCTCCATCCTCTTCGGCCAGATGTGAGGCCTGGGGGTCAAAGGTCGACCCTCTCATGATGAGTAGCTTCCTTCCTACCACACGTCCTCTTTCCCCCGAAGCCAAAAAAAGAGTGAGAGCTTCGTTGTGTTCCTCGTGAGAGTATCCGTGCACGTCTTTAGGACTCGGTCAATACTTTCCACCTGCATCCACACAAACGCTCAGTGAAGTCTTCTATCAATAGCACAATTTTCTCCTTTTTGTACAGCGCAGTGTTGAAAACAATCTCTTAAGCATCACATATGGTGACCAAGGAAAATATTTAATGACATAGCAGATGGCTTGTTGGGCCTTTTAATAACAATATGAAACAGGAAGTGGAATGGCTCACAAATATCTGTATGATAAATAGAATCCATAACTATATTAAATATTATGTAACAATGATTATGTTTTAATACATCACAATGCCTTGTCTAATAAGATGATTTATTTCAGGAGGGATCACTTCCTGCTAAGTTAACATACCAGCTAACTAGTTTAAACTATTTAATTTGACTAATGATGCGTCTTCACAATTTTAATAAAGCAATAATCCATTAAAAGTTTAGGTTTACAGTGATTTGGAAACGACTGTTGCTTCCTGTTTTCATTTGTTCAATGTTATTATTTATATTTTCAGTGTTTGTGCTCTGACAGCCGAGCAGATGCATTACAGAGTGATTAGTGAGGGGATGTCCTCGACAACAAAGCAATCAAAAGTTATTTATGATAGAGAGTATATGCACATATAATCAGTTTATGCTGGTGAGGAGTGTTCACTAGTGTCTCAGCAATCAAACTGTTTGAGCAGGAGAGGTTTCAGAGGAGATTTACTAGCGAAAATATAGATAAAAATCCTACTAGTTTATATTTCTGAACAAATTGTTTTATCAATTTAATCTGGGGACCAGGATGTGCTGAAGGATAAAGTTGGCTCCGGTGAAAAAAATACTATATTTATTGGATGAAATAAAAAGTACCTGAAGGAATTTATATATACAAATATTAATATATACTTGACATGGTTTTAGTGGCCACTGTGTACACTTTGCATTAATGGTTGAAACCTGCAGATTGTACAGATGTTAAAAAGATACTTTAATCTGCCACGTTATGCCTGGACCTACCGTTCAAGATTAAAAAAAGTATATCAGATTAATATCGTCCGTCGGCCTTGGGTGTGAACACCCTGTATGTATTTGAATGTAAAACCTTGCTGACTTTACCATTAGTGTGGAAATATTTACATGCATTCAAATGTAGCAGACGGCACTAAATCACAGCCTCTGAACAGAGAGCTTCTCTAGTCCGACTGTAGAGGACATGATGTGTGTGTCAGTAGAAATTTAACATGAAAATGCACATTGTTTTTGCCTAACTACTTATAAGCAAGTATTGGTGCATCTTAATGTACGTAAAGAGATTAACCTAGTGTTACAGTATTTTTAGAAGTCTTATTATTATGAAATCTTAAAAATAATGTTCTTCTATGAGTGTCACATACTTTGATGACTCTGAGTGCAGGTTAGTAAAACTTCACGTTTAGGTACGACAATCGATGTTTGTATTGTTTCTTGTACATTTTATGCGAAGATTTCACTTTGGTGGGACATTTTCACTCAGATGAGGACAGAAACAGCACTGTGTGTGTGTGTGTGTGTGTGTGTGTGTGTGTGTGTGTGTGTGTGTGTGTGTGTGTGTGTGTGTGTGTGTGTGTGTGTGTGTGTGTGTGTGTGTGTGTGTCCTGTAAACAGTCTTTGATGTGTAAAATCGAGAAATTGTAACACAGAATATAGTTTGGTTAAAAGAGCATGAATCACTGAAGAGCCAGGGTGTAGTGCAAATACCTAATTGCTGACATTTGTGTGTGTGTGTGTGTGTGTGTGTGTGTGTGTGTGTTGCATATTCTCTATTCCTATATACCTGCTGCTCCTCTGTCCTTTTATATGGAAATGATGAAACAATTTGGACCCATTTAAATAACCCGATGAAGACTAAATGTTCCACCAAAGCGATATGGCCAATTTTGTGTCTTTGTTTCAAATGGCTGTATAATTATTATCATTGTCTACTAGACAATACTTTTTACTGTTTGTAAATGTTAAATAATTGACATAGTTTTACAATAATGAATGTCTGACAGAGACTAGTTTTGTGGTGTTTTTGATATTTAAAAAAAATTAAATGTAAGCCTACTTGTGAAATATTGGGCGAATGCATATTTTGTCATTTTGTTTAGTGGATTATGATGCTGTAATGTCAGAATAACTCAGTTTGGTATGAATTCTATTGCAGTTGTGTCCTAAAAACTGTTCATCGTATGATTTTTCTTTAATGTAAGTATTGATTAATTGACATGCTTATTTAATGCAAAGGGAATACAGAAAACAAAGCTTCTGTTTACAGGTTTGAATTCAGTTTCAAATGTTTCAAATGCTTTAAAGAATAGAAGATGTGCCACTTAACTTAAATTACAGTTAGCATTTTTGCCCTTTTCTCACAAAATTGTGCCAGGAAAAAAAGTCAGCAATTATCCCAAATGACTCGTATAGCTACAGTTTAAAAGTGTAGTTACATTTAAACATATTTGATCAGATCTGCTTCAATGTCATGCCAGGATTTCTTTCTTCAGAGATGCCATGAATGTATCTTAACGGTTTTAAAGGCGATGGATGTGCTGTTAAAATGTCAAAAGAAGAAACGGTATTGTGAAGTCCTCCTAAACACCTGTGTCCCAACATAAAAGGGTTATTACAATGCTTTCTGCTCGTCCGAAAAGAAACTTGTGCTGAAATGAATAAAATAGCATTTGTTAATTTTATAAACGGTCTAATTCGATCATGAAAATGGTCAAAAGCACAGCTTGGAGGATATGCTGCGTTTCCATTTGGGACGACTGGCTGAATAAATTGGAAAAGTTAAATGATGAGAATAATTGTTTTAAAATTTCACTTCTTTTTTGTATTCTCTGAAGTAGAACCCCTCTGCAAATCCTCCCTTTCTTCATCCTTGTAAAACACCCTCAACCATCGGTAACTAATTGTGTTTTGCCAGGAGAACATTTCCTCCCCTTTGTGATGCTCATGCTTTGTTTCACACCGCTGATGTTGGGAGTCTCTTCTGTTAACTCTTGTATTATGTAGTAATAATCTCAATTTACGAGAGACACGACAGCACCAAAGCAAACCGTACGTGTTGTGGTTTCGCAGCACTCAAGAATGTTCTCTTTAAAATGCTGTGATGTTGGAGGTAGAGGATGTGTTAGAGTTTAAATCTATTAGCGGCTGTATTGGATCATAGAACACTGTTGTATCTTGAGACCAATTAAAAATGTGCAATAACAATTCATCTCTTTTGGTCTCTTATTGTATCAAGGTCGTAGGCATATTGAATAGATGGAATATGTAGATGTTCATAGAGTCCTGCTGGTCAAGTGTAGTACTACAAATAATCTATATTTTGGATTTACTGGGTCACATGATTAGGGGTGCATACCAGTTCCCGGCATTACCGAAATACCGGTAACGGTATACCGTACCGAAATCAGATCCGGTTTTCTTTATTTTTTCGATTTTTTTTTATATATAAAGTGAGGCGTAATAACTTTAAACTCACGCCCAAACCGCCAGCCAATCAGATTGCGCGTCTTGCCAGTCTGAATGGTGGGGTCCGTAACCACTGCCAGTCTGAATGGTGGGGTCCGTAACCACTGCCAGTCTGAATGGTGGGGTCTGTAACCACTGCCAGTCTGAATGGTGGGGTCTGTAACCACTGCCAGTCTGAATGGTGGGGTCTGTAACCACTGCCAGTCTGAATGGTGGGGTCCGTAACCACTGCCAGTCTGAATGGTGGGGTCTGTAACCACTGCCAGTCTGAATGGTGGGGTCTGTAACCACTGCCAGTCTGAATGGTGGGGTCTGTAACCACTGCCAGTCTGAATGGTGGGGTCTGTAACCACTGCAAGAAGTTTATTTCTGGGAAAGGCGGCAACACATCCAACCTCTCAAAAACATTTGCTACCGTCACATCAAATTAGAGTACAGGAACGTACAGTCTTCAAGCCTGTGTTGTCAAACGTGTTTTTCATTGTTTGTTCAGTACTAAAAGGTCGAAGTCCCACAATTAATTGTAATATTCATTTGACATGTTAACTATATCATAAAGCGCTTCAATTTTTCCCTTATGCAACATGAAAGTATCACGATATGTATCGGTATCGTAAAAAAGCCAACGATATGCATCCCTACACATGATATGGAGCCACCTTCACCAAGTCCACCAACAAGAGGGTCGCCAGTCTTCAACATACTGACATTTTTTAGACATACTTTTTTTCTAATATTTTATATACTACGAATTTACTTTCGGATATTTTCAAAATGTTGAAAAGGATTTCCTCGACATTTATACAATGATATTTTTGAAATGTTGGATAATAACTTTTTTCGACAGACCATTACTTTTTTTAGAAATACTCTAATATGTTCATGTTTCATACAATACATTTTTTGACATACTATTCTAAGACGTTAACTAATATTTTCAAAACGCTCTAAAATGACTGACACTTCAACGCTATTTTATACATTTCATATAAATACCTTTTCTCTGAGATACTGTTTTTCATTCTTATATATTTTTCGACATACTATGCTATGACTATTCTCGCACACTGTATTATTTAGTTTTTTCTATTTTTTTTTAAAATTTAATATCTTTTTTTGACATACTATGACATTTACTAATATTTTCAAACACACTATACCATGTTGTTTTTAGACATTTAATATGACTTTTTTTTGCTGATACATTTGGCACCTTTTACTAAGTCGTTATAAATTAGTTGAAGTTATAAAAAGAAATCACTCACAGCAGTTGATTTGCAAACGATGACACAAAAACCCTTTAATTTAAATAGGAGGAAAATAATCACATAAAAAAACTGTACAGAACATTGAACATCGACTTAAAGTTCTTAAATAAAAGACCCCCCTCCCAACAACTAAAATAATAAAACAACAACAAAGTGGGATGGTGTATGATACATTTTGTGCAAAAGAAGTGTTAAATTGATTCTTCCCAGACTGCACAATGTGAAGAGTGCCTCTCCCCCTCTGATAGGTCAACACACAAGACCCTCCCCTTAACCTCAAAATAGTGTCTTAAATGTAAAAGAACCCAAAATCCAATAATAATAAAATAGATTTATATTTTAAATATATATTTATATACGAAACATGCTGTACATAATATCAGAGATAGTGAAATCCCTTTTTATCGACAACCAGGTCCGTCTGTTAACTTGTGCTTTCCACACTCCCAGCAAAGAAAGGATAAAGGAAATGGAAACACAAGTCCCTGTTGATTTGGTTACGAGTGAATGATAAAAGAGCACTGATCAGAAAGTCTCTGTTGTTCCTGAGTGGAGGGAGTTTCTTACGTGTTTAGAGAGGAATAATGCACATCTGTCGCAGCTTCTTCACAGCTGACAGAAGTATCATGGCTGCTAAAAAAAAAAAAAAAAAAAAAAACTTCTTTCAAATGGGGAAGTGTTATACTCTGTCCCTTGCTGCCTTGTCTTAAGAAGCTGAACATGGGGAAACAATGTTGAGGGAAACGCTACATCTCATCGCAATTCAATCCTCAACCTGCCTCATTACTTTGAACTAAATGTGTAATCCCCATTTTGGGTTTCGTCCTTTGGAACAAAAAGTCTTCCTGTGGAGGAAGTCAATTTCTTTCCCAATATAAACCCTGAGAACGCTGACCTCCTTTTAAAGTTTCCTAAAAAGGGAACATTAGATAGTTTAGTGAGAAAAATAGCACACAAGGCTAATTCCAGAATCATTCCACCACTGCAGAAAACACACCGGGACAAAGACACCGGGACAAAGACACCGGGACAAAGACACCGGGACAAAGACACCGGGACAAAGACACCGGGCTGAGTTTGGTTTGACTTCAGGCTTCTTTTAGCTAGACTTCAACCCCCTATCAGTGTTTTCATTTGCTTTTCGCAGCGGTGGAACGGAGAGAGTGCAGGAGTGGGAAAGAAACCAACTTAAAGTGACTTCTTAGCAATTCTTCCAGTTATATAACAAATAAAAAAGACAGCCATTGGTGAGATGATACAAAAGTGATGACAGCAAACAAATTGAGGGAGGGGGAGGGGTAGGGGGGTACAGCTGACTGAAGGCAGATTTCCAATTCGATACATCATCACACCATATTGACAAACCCCGTTAAAGATATCTGTAAGACAATATTAATCAAATAAATATACCACCTTTGCTTTCAGTATTTATTCAACTTTATTTCCAACTAAAACGCTGGATTTGACTGTTGTCGAAACAGCAGTAGTAGTGGGTATATTAGTAGTAGCAGGAGATGCAGAAGCAGTAGTATAGTAACGAGGGGGGGGGGGGGGGGGGGGACAGAGCTCCCCACACAAAGCAGCCTGGGTCCCTTCTATCGAGAAAGCTGATTGGGTCTGATCGTAGAGGGCGTCGCTGATCAGACATCCAAAGAAAATCAGACTTGGTGCATCTTAAACCGAGGAACTTGTGATTCTTCAAGTAAAGTTTCTTAAAAAAAGAAAAGAAAATGACATTCCACTTACCGAAATAAAGAAAAAGGCTTTAAGTTTCCCAGTTGTTTTAGGTTTGTGATCAAC